TCTTTTGAACTTCATTCAATTTATTTTGAACTATTGAAGGCATTATTCAAAAATTTTTTTAAATATATTGAAATATTAACAATTTCTATATATAATGATAATGGATCAAATTTTTTTGATGGAGAACAATGGGAAGAATTAATTTCTACTTCAATACCAAAGTTACGTATTTTTGATTTTCAACATCATTATAGTGGAGCAATGGACCATTTCTTATATGCTTGTCATAGTGGTGACTTTAGATCAGAATTTTGGACAAATAAACAATGTTTTTTTCATAATCAATGTAATAATGCACTCAAGTCTGGTGATGCACTCTTTTTTACAATAAATCCATATCGGTAAATATTAGTTATGTTTACTTAAACACGTTTAGGATGTGTGCGTGTGGATGAGGCCGTAGATGACTCTTTCTTTCCTTAAAAAGCTCACACCCACCCTCAAGATAGGATTATTTGAAAGAGAAACTACGAGGAAAGATAATACTAAATATGATATTAGTCTGAAGATATATCTAAAAATAAGTCAAATGAATATAAATAACACAAGACTTTCTTGGTTCAATCGTTTTCTTAATTGTCCGCTCCTTTTTATGTCATAGTGATGACGTTCTAAAAAAATTATGTTTAAAAACCTCATAGGAATTGTTCCTGACTTTCCATTCTCCAGATCCCTAATGATTATTCTAATTAATACATAGTTCGAAATCGTGATTATCACGACATTGGTTTTTAATTTAATCGACAAATATCACTCCTGTTAGTCGTTAGGATGAATTGATAATATAAAGTACTTACGAAGGAACCGCCCCAACTGTCCAATCGCTTTTCAGTTCGGATCCTGTGCATAAAGTAGATCCCAATGAGGTATAAAAAACCCCAAAAAGATAAGGGCCGTTAGGCATTCAGTCCCGAGTTATAGGCAATATACTGAAATTTTAGCCTTTGGTATGGTATGTATAAATAGATCGAATGACGGTATTTCGACCTGAGATTATGCCCTCAGAGCGTTCTATTGGTGAGTAGAATGCCTTGAAAATTTCAGCTGAAAAGAACGATTCCTTCTCGAGATATTAAAGTTACAAAAAACAGAAAATTCTAGTATCTTTCGAGAGATATACGTGATTTTTTGATACCTCAATATCTCGAGAAGGAATCGTTCTTTTCAGCTGAAATTTTCAAGGCATTCTACTCACCAATAGAACGCTCTGAGGGCATAATCTCAGGTCGAAATACCGTCATCCGATCTATTTATACATACTATACCATAGGCTAAAATTTTAGTATATTGCCTATAACTCGGGACTCAGGGCCCTTATCCTTTTGAGATTTTTTATACCTCATTGGGATCTACTTTATGCACAGGATCCGAACTGAAAAGCAATTGGACAGTTGGGGTGGTTCCCTCTTTAGTTCTTTTTCTCGTAGTTGTAATCTCTACTAATAAACTTTTTCTTATTTTAGAAGAAAAACTCATGAATTTTATTGGGAACATGATCTTATGACTAGATCATATATACAAGAAGATAGTTTCAGATCAGTTAAACAAATTTCTATTCATGGTACAGAAACTTATATAGATCGTTGTGTTTATTTTCCCAATGTTAATGAATTGACAATTCATGATTGTGGTTCAATTTCAACATCTCTTAATAAGATTCTTCCTTTACATCAATTGAACAAAATAATTATCAATTCCAATAAATTTCGTTTTAAAGATATTTTAAATTTAATTAATGTTACATCGAATTTAAAAACATTCAAATGGTATTATCATTCAATTGATGAAGATCAATTAAAATTAATTGAACAAAGTGATATTTATCAATGTGTATTAAACAACAATAAAATTGAAAATTTCGAAATAATTCATTATTGTTGTTCATTAAAAGAAATTTTATTTTTTAGTCAATTATTTTCAAAATTAAAAACATTTCAAATTGAAATAATTAATAAAGAATTCATTTTAATAATGCGATATTTATTATTAAAAATGTCTCATTTAGTTTTTTTATGTATTAAAGATTTACCGAAAACTTATTCAAACAAATTAAATATTTTGATCAAATCAGATAATTTACTTGAACATTATTTTATTAAATTTATTAATCGAGATTTATATTTATGGTATTAGAAGAAAAAAAAATAGATGTTTTTATTGTTTTATGTAGAAAATTCGAAATAACTTTTTTGTTTTAAATAAATAAGAATATATAATGAAATGAAATGTCTTTTTATTAGATGTGTTTCATCAATTCTTTTCAAATAAGATATTTCAATGTCAATTAAAATCAAATTTTTATTTTGTTAGATTAATCAATTCATAAGAACAAAAGGGTGTCGATGAATTAGAATACCATCTTGATCATGGGTGCGATTGCCTCTTGTCTTAACTTACACTCCCACCCACACCCTTGATAAGAATAAAAAAAAGATTTGAAAGGGAAAAAGCTTCATTTGTTTGGTACAGTCATCCCGTTCTCAACGGATTAATACATATGAAAAGAAAAAAGATATGAAAAAATAATAAAGAAAAAATTGGTTAAGGGAGAAAAATGGACAAAAATCGCAGTGGCTGCGCTGGAGGAGACGTTACTACTAACATTTGTTTGATAATGGTTACTACCAACAGTTGTTTGTTGAGTACTACTAACACTTGTTTGTTGAGTACTACTAACACTTGTTTGTTGAGTACTACTAACATTTGTTTGTTGATAGACTCTAACCCAATCGACGACCATATTCTGAGGCCAGACCGTTGTGTTATCTGGTGATCCTGGCCACGATCCGCCGACAGCGATATTCAACAACAAGTAAAATGGCCATTTTCCGTGAAATGCATCAACCGGATTGATTGAGCCGGAAATATTGTTTGTATTTAAAGTGAAATAGGTGAACTCATTAACTCCAATGACGATATTTGTCTCATTCCATTCTGTCCAGTAGACAAGACTATTGTTATGCAACATCGATCCATCCGGTGTTGACCATGAAGTACCTTGCGCTGCAGCATTCGATGGTGACAAAGTATTCGATGCGTTATTCCAATGAACAGTACCGTAGGCTGTTTTATCCTGATACACACCCCATACCCACCCGCCGATCATTTCCAAAATGTCAATCTCACCCACTGTTGGCCAGTAGAATCCATATTGTGCCCAGGCATTGCCTAAGAGCCAAAATGCCGGCCAGAGACCTCTACCATAAGGTGCGACAAGCTTTGCAGCGAACTTTCCGTAGGTAAACTGTTGCAAGCCGACTGATGAGATCATAGCGGATGGATAGAGATTGTTGGTCGCCGATGTTGCTTGCATAGCCACAAGGACGAGTTGATCATTTTGAACGTAACAATTTTGAATTGAGTTCGTATAATTCTGTAACCCACCGTTGATCAAACCTGTTTGAATGGCCCAATTTTGTGGATTAACTGCGTAGGCTGGCTGTCCATTGATTACCGCTTGTGCCGCGCCGACATTTGTGAACTCATCCGACCAAACCAATTGATAATTCGAACCGGGATCGTATTGAAACGTCGATGGATTCCATGATACAGTATATACAAGTTGAAATAAAATAAGAGAGAAAAATATGGACACTGCAAGCATTCTTGCTGCTGTTCTTACTCTTTCTAATACATACAGAGACACGTCGCCTGCTTTTATACTTTGCTACGGCATTTTTTAATAATTTGTTTTTTTTTCGATTTATTATTTTTATGGCCTGTTGCATATGTAAGGCTGCAACAACAGAAATTAAAAAGTATTGAATTGTACTTGTTCTATTATGACATTTCGTTCACCCCCAACGTACTTTTTACTTTTGAGATGTACCCAACTTACAGGCGTTCATATCTCATGAGAAACTCACGCAGGGTGTGGGTGTTGTGATTAACTCATACCCACGCCCACCCATCTTGGCTGATTAACAGGAAAATCAAGAATCTGGAAAGAGTTACATAGATATTTCGAATTTCTAAAAATTTAGACATAATTCTTGCCTGATCCTCGAGATCATTATCACGTGATGTCTTTATGTGTATGTATCTATATATACCAACGACTATACTTTATTTATTTATTTTTAGATCAGACAACAGTTGAGTTGTATTTCAATAGTAGGTAACTCAGAATATTTAAGAAGAAAAGATGCATATATTGAATCATCTTACTATATAAAATTGTAGCTAATTTTAGAGTTTTTGGATGACGATTTCATGAAAGGTCAATCATTGATTCGAACAACAAATGTGAAGAAGACGAACTTCAGTAATAATTATGAATTTTTAATATAAATAAAATGCTTTTAATATTTTTCTTTTATTATGTTTATGTAAATACATTATTTTTATTATTTATTGGTTTTTAAATAAACATGTTAGATGCAAAAAAAAGAAATCAGGAAAGAATGTTGAAAAAAAAAGAATCAGGCAAGAATAAAAGAACACAAAAATCTGGAAAGACGACAGGCAAGATCGTCGACCAGTGCACCTACCAGCTTGAAAACAATATTTTGAAATATTTGATAAATAAAATGATTAAAAACTTTTAGAAAGAAATGTTGTTTACAAATAGATTATAATTAAACCAAAGAGAATAATAATAACAAATATTGAAGTCTTTGCAGAGAACTAAATTATTTTGAAAATGAATAAATTAAAATATTTTTATGTAGAATGGATTATAACTGGTAGCATGAATGATGCACGATATTATCATAGTGCATCTGTATTACCCCAATGAAAATTTATTAGTTGCAGGTAGATTAGGCGAAGAAGAATTAAAGAGTGCAGAATTGTATTAATTATCTAAAACAAATAAATTCAATACGCAATTTTTGAACTTTAAGATAATTATATACTTTTCTTTACAAGTTTTATAACAATAATAAATAGCTTCATCTAAATAGATAGATTTTTTCAAAGTTACACACTTCCATACCTACTTGTAATAAAAATCTTTATTAGACACTTCTTTCATTTCCCTTTCTTTAAAATATTGATACAAATGTTTCTTTCGATGTTTTATGAGTTACTTTAAAGACATAAAGTATATAAAATGATGTGGCTGTGGGAGAAGATGCCAACATCTACACCCACATACTTCCCATTTATTCATTTCAAATCGATGACAACAAGAAAGAACGATGAAAATAAACGAAAAAACAGGATACAAATGATAGCGTGACATATTCACTTTTTGCGTTCTGTACATATGACAAAGGTGAGCTTTTTCGCCCGATAAAAATAAAAAATCACGTTATCATCATTCATTATAGAACATACTTGATAAATATGAGTAACTTCATAAAAGGTTTGAGTCACGATCTACTTCCGTAATTTATTTTCCAAGTATAACCATATACTCAATACTTCTATTCAAATACATTGACAACGATTTGAACAAAAATATGAATTGTCTTCGAAAACGTTTGTTTCTTTCGGACGATTTAAAATCAATTTACGATACACAGTTATTCAAAAGTACACCTATAACGATTATATGGTTTGATGAAAATATTGATGAAGACTTAAACGATCAATTACAAAATATTCATGATCATATTTTCATTACAACTGATAGATCAACATTTCTAGATTATATTCAAACTATGGTTAATGAAGCAATCGTTGTTTTATCTGGTGCAATTTCTCAAACTATAATACCAATCATTCATGATAATAAACAAATCAATTCGATCTATATATTTTGTATCCAGGATTCAAAATATAAATATTTATGTGATATATATTCGAAAATTGATAGTATTCATACTGAATATAATTTATTATTTGAATCATTGGAAAAAAATATAGAATTAATAATGAAACAACAAATATCATTAAATCTATTCGATCAATCAGGACAATCGACGCAGGATTTAACACGTGAATCATCAGAATTTTTATGGTATCAATTATTACGTGAATATATAATGAAAATGATTCAAACGAACGACACTAAAAAAATTATGCTGGAAAAATTTCGTCTATATTATAGAACAAATAAACCTTATCTATCTAAAATAGATGAATTTGAACAAACATATACTACGAATGATGCAATAAAATGGTATACAAAAGGTACATTTCTCTTTAAAATCGTTAATCAAGCATTAAGAACACAAGATATTGAAGCACTATTAGCCGTTCGTTATTATGTTGTTGATCTTTGTAAATGCTTAAAAGAAGAATGTGAAAATTTTCGTGATTATTATGAAGATGTTATTCAAGTTTATCGTGGACAAACATTATCAGATTTAGAACTTGATCGATTAAAAAATAGTATTGGTCAATTAATATCCACTAATGGATTTTTATCTACAACTAGATCCTTAGACATTGCGTCATTATTTGCAACAAATACAATATTTATAATTAATGTCAAAACACAATTAGAAGGTGTTGTGTTTGCTGATGTTCGATTTCACAGTGAAACACCTCACGAAGAAGAGATTCTATTCGATTTAGGTACAATATTCAAGATTTTAGAAGTAGAATATGATGATAGTAAGAAATTATACTAAATTCATTTGATTACAGTAGATGAAAGTAAAAATCTTACAAATAATTATATTGAAAAACAAAGAAAAAATCTTGGATGATACGAACTAATCGATTATCAAGTTGGATATCTTTTGATTGAGATGGATCAGTCAGTCAAAGCTATTCGTTATTATGAAAATCTATTAGAAGAAGCAAAAGATGATGAAAACAGTTTTATCGCTCTTTTTGGATTAGTAATTGCTTGTCTAAATAACGAACAAGTTGAACAAGCAAATGAATATATACATCGTTGCTGTAAACTATATGAAAGTATTCCGGGCGGTACTATCCTATGGTCGTTGTCGTATATTTGATCTTTTAGGAAGTATTGCTCATAAGCAAAATAGACCTGAACTTGCCATCCATTATTTTACAGAAATCTTAAAAATTGTACCGGAAGATGATACGGATATGATATCAATTGCTAATACTAATTTAGCAAGTATTTATTATTCACAGGATAATACAGGAATGAGTTTACAACATCTTCAACACGCTTTACAATTAGATAAAGTATTGTATTCAACAGATGATCTTCACATAGCTACTGATAATTTTAATATTGGTGTATGTTACTAAAAACAAAATGAATTACATTTGGCTTTCAAATATTACGAACAATCATTGGATATACGCGAAAAAATACTTTCATCTTTGCATATCGATATAGCATTAACTCATATTGGATTAGCAGAAACTAATTTTGGATTAAAAAATTTTAATCAATCTATTGATCATTGGAAAAATGGTTTAGTAATAATTGAGAAAGAACGATTGTGTAACAGTACAGAACAAGCAATAATACATGAGAATATTGCCGCATGTTATAGCAACATGAATGACTTTACGCATGCATTGTGGCACTGTGATCAATCTCTATTATTACATCAAGAACATCATTCAACAAGAAATTTATTTAATTTGTATTTTACATATGGTAATGTTTATCATGGAATTAATGAATTTGATAAAGCAATTGAAAGTTTTATTGTGTCATTAACTTTAATTGATGATAATAATGAAAGAAAGATTTCTCAAATTTATGAAAATATTTCCGAATGTTATGTAATAATGGATGAACATTCATTAGCAATTACATATTTAGAAAAATCATTAGCAATACAAGAGAAATTAGATCCAATGAATGAAATTATAATTGTTAATATATGCAATAATATAGCAATATCTTATTGTTCACTGCAGAAATACAATCTAGCTCTTGAATATTGTACGAAATCCAAAGAATATTATGAAAAATGTTCTTGTGATAATATGGAAGAATATGGTGTTACTTTAGGCTGCTCACCTATAGCTGTAAAGTATGAAATTTTAGCTAATATTTATTTTGATAGGGAAGATCAAACAACAGCTTTTGACTATTATTATAAAGCTCTTGATATTATCAAGTCAAGGTTGCCAGTTGATCAACAAGCATTAGCACGCGTTCAAAAATTATTAAATCGAATAAATGAAGTAGAATTTTAAAATTACTGTTTTAGTATTATAATTCATTTATACAATTCTTATTTTCTTCTTTGAAAATACTACGATCAAAGTTAATTTACAATGTAACATCATTGTCAACTTCCTTCGTACTATGAAAAAATGGATGTGAGTTTCATCGAAGATTCATATCTCATCCATGTTCTCTCACATATCAATATGTCGACGATTATATATTGCTTATTATATATTTTTCTCTCTTTCCTTCATCATTATACCTAACTTTCAATTTAGTTTGTCACTCGCGTTGGAGTAGAAATAGTTATGATTCTTGTTATTGAAAACTTGTTAATATTGAAAGCAATGATGTATAACGACAACTTATACACAAATGAGTGTGTCTTGTATTGATAGATGAAGGGTGAAATATGATATATTTACATGTTCATTTCTTTTTTCTTTATCAATTTTATAAACACTCTCTTTATATTTGATCGCTATCGATACGCGCCATTTGGTTTTTTTTCTTCTTTTACATCGATATACTTGATTGCTCTGTCCTTTCTCTTATATCAGTATGTTCGTGACATTTTCATTAATTATCACTTATTCAGACTTTAGTTTTTTTTTAAAATATTCATTTTAAGATGTTCCACAAAATGGGATGGGTGCGGGTATTATATTTTATCTACACTCACACCAATTATTCGACTGAGAAAAAGGACGTCCATTTATTGTACACCCCATTTTTTCCTTACGCCACATTTTTCACATACATAAAAATATGAATCCCGTATTCTTTGCCGTAAAGATTCTTTTGATATATATTATATTTCTTTTTCTTTTATGTTTTTGTTATCGAAGTAAAAATTAATTATAATCAAACGTGAAGAATGTTTGTAAAACGTCAACCTAAATATCACAATTTAAAATATATATCATTATTCTCAACTCTGACTTGTCTCACTTTTATTATGTTCTTTATTGTTATTGAATATGCGAGTATAATTCCATTAATCAAAATATCAAAAATAATAGTGCATACGGCTTTGACTTCCATCACAACTTGTCGTCCATACATACCACTCGATAATCGTCCATTTTTCGAACGTGATTATCCTCAATCAAATTTACCTCAACGTATATCAAATGCATCCTATGAAAATATTCTTCGTCAACTTCCTTCTCTTCGATTAGTTGTTCTAGGATGTGCTCGTAATGTCGTACCAAATCTTAATGAATTTCGAAGTCATATTGAACCAATTATCAATCTCTTTCATTCATCATCTCGTATTATTATATTCGAAAGTGATTCAAAAGATAAAACTGCAAAAAAACTTCGTGAATGGTCTCGTGTAGAACTTCATACATATCGTAGATTAGCAGGACAGTATCCAGAACGTACTGAACGACTTGCTCATTGTCGAAATGAATTAATGGATAAAGCACATCTTTTACCAGCTGATTATATTTTTGTTGTTGATTTAGATAGATTTTCAACAACTGTTCCTTCTTTTCTTTCAAATTTTCAATATGATACAAATCAATGGTCAGTTATGACCGCAACATCACATGATACCTATTATGATATCTGGGCATTACGTACCTTATCGGATTCAGTTATGAACTATGATGTTTGGCATCGAATGCTGGATTTAGAGATACCTCTGAACAACTATTGTCATCAATCAATTTTTAATGGAATTATTGGAATTCATCAAAAACGTATTCCGATTGAACATGGTTTAATTGAAGTACGTTCAGCCTTTAATGGTGCTGGATTATATAAAGTAAATTCGACATATAACTGCAAATACGATGGTAGAAGATTTACTTGTGAACATGTGTCATTTCATTTGTGTATACGAGAGAAAAATCAAGCAAGAATATTTATTAATCCCGAGTTTCAAGTTAGTTAAGTATAAGTAATTAAGAGTATAAGTTTGAATGAAGTTATGAATATAAATCTATTCGAAACACAGTAGTTAGTACTCTTACATATGAATCATGAGAATGTTGTTAGGATAAGTATTCTTCTTATTAACTTATATAACTAATCTTATATTTTATCTCATGTGTTTAACTCTGTTGTACATTATCTGTTAAGTTTTATTTTATTGTGATAGATTATTACATAAATAAATATTAATTGATATTCATTGATAGATCTCAATTATAATAAAATACGAAGAGATTTATTTTTTTTCTACAACACTGATACAGTACGCAAAATACAACTAATTAAATCATTAACATGAAAATATACGACACAACAAAAAATATAGTCTACATTATTATATAGTTATTTAAAACGTGATTGTAATACACCCATTGGAACTGAGTCTGCTACTGAACCTGCCGAAGGTACTATTTGATTAGGTTGATATTTTTTCAAAATAATACTTTTTAATTGTGGGGTGAAAAAAACTAACACGACACTTAATCCTACCATCGACAGACTAACCGAAAGCCATTCAATACGAAAAAAAAGAGGACTTTCTTCACGTGTGATTAGATACATTAATAAAAGAATTACAGATGGTATTCCAAGAGTTAAGAGTAGACCGACAGTTATAAAAATACGTCGTATCACAAGTAAATCTCGTTCTTGTCGTTTTTTAACTACAAGTGCTTGGTTAATGGATTGTCGACGAAGAAATATTGTAATGCGTATATAGATAAACAATAATATTAAAAGAGGATTTCCATAAGCATTTAATATCACCCAAAGAATGCCAAGAATATTTGTGTATGGCACATAACAAAAGTATTCTTGTGGTAAATAAACAATATCATGCCAGAAAAGGAGTGGAGACAACAGTGCACAACTTAAAATAAACTCAATAGGAGGTATAATAATATACAACCAAAAATGTTGAAGCCACTTATGAGTTGCATATACAATTCGGCAAAGACGAAATATAGCCTGAAGAGAAATATTGGTTAAATTGATAATATATTTTAGTTCATGATTACCTGATTAACAAAAGCCCAATATAACGTAGTGCAAAGAACAGGAAACATAAATGCCGTGGAAATACACCATGATGATGCACTTGACTCTTTTCCATACAAATCTCCTAGCAATGATTGAATACTAAATGCAACTAATATTCCCGTGAAGCAGAAAATAAGTGGATAAATGTTTGCACAATGAATAATAGTTATTCTATCTTCTGGTTTCATGCGATTATTAAAGAGATAATAAATGATATGAATAAAGATAATAAATGAAATCAAACATGCAAATATACTAATAACAAGTGTAATCCAATTGAGTACAAATGCAATATTATTCATCATGATTTTAAATAGGTACTGCTTAAAATACGTGAATGTCTCTTATGATATAAAAAATAAATTCTTTCGTAAATATATGGTATCTAAACTTAAAGTAACTCATATTTTATATGAAAGAAAAACTGTCACTTGCAGCAATGTAAAAAAAAATTTAATATTCTATGTTGCATTCTACTCTGGATAATATGAATTTAGCAGTACTGACTTTCGCAGTTGTCTTCTGGCAATTGCCAAAAGTCATGTCAGTATGTTCACTCAAAATGGGTTCTCATCTAAACTGCCATTTTATGTTCATCACGAACGAATTCATTTAGAATAGAAGATTTTATTTATAAATGATACTAACGTGTTAGAAATTATCGTAGTTATATAAGATTGAAGTTCACAATAATACCAGTGCAATCACAAATTCTTACTGGTTTTTAGAAAATAATCAGTCTTATCTCTGACAGCTGTATTCAAATGTATTATTAATATTAAAAGAGCCATCGACTGTCACATATGACATTTAATGATGGCTGAATAGATTTATTCAACATAATCTACTTATTTATTATGGCAAGGCTTTTATTTATGAGTTAGTGGAAAATAAGATTACAACAAAGTGCAAAGTTCTTGGTATCTTATTTGCCCTGGAAGCATTTTTTAATTATAAAAAAAGCAATCAAAAACTACCAACGGGGAGTATGCGTTTCTGTTCTGGTCGGAAATTAATGCCGTTATCCAATTCCGCAGTTCTTGTTTATATATTAAAAAAAAGACATGAACAAATATTTGATAGTTAATGAGAATCAGGAAAACTCTTAGAATTCAAAAGAGTGTTCAACCATTAGATTATTTGTTTATTAGTACTTTTAAAGTTCAAAAAGAAATGTTCTTCTTTCAAATGAGAACATAATTACCTATTCATCCTAAATGAAGAATGTTCGAGCAATAGCAAATCAAAGAAATAAAGTTCAATAATGTGTATGACAGGTTTTTTCATCACAGATAGATGAATCGATGGTGTAGATGTGCGTTTAATAGTTGTTATGTTATTGTACCTATACTCACACCCACACCCTCAAGATAATAAATCAATCATAACAAGACAAAATTCGTGCTTAAAATAATATGTCAAGTGCAAAATAAAAGAAATTAGTATGTTGATCAAGCATCAGTTATATAATAGTCTTCATCATTCAGAATATTCAAACACATGTTTTGTATGTGTTTTTGCGAGTCTTATTTAAAAGCAAAGAAAAAAAAGTCAATTAAATCAAAGTTTTGTTATTTAATTTCTTCTTGATAATTCATCATTTGGATATAAACGACGTCGAAATGCTTTCCATTTTCGTGTTGTCAGTATATCGAATTCTTTCTTATATATTTGTGACGTTAATACAAAAATAAAAAAATGAAGTATCGGCGGAATAAATGAAACGAAGTAACCAGCCAAGAACAGCTTATATTCTTTTGGTGATTTCATACAATTAGGTAAGAATGAAATAATCAAACGAGGAACAGCTAAGATTACCAAAAGAATTGAACTAAGAATGAGATGTTTGTGACGAGAAAATTGTTTTTTTAATTGCTTTCGAAAAGTGCCTTTCTTTTCTATGGATGAACGTTGTTTCGCAGCATAAAAAATAATACCAATGGCCAAGATAAAATTGAGGGAAAAAGGAACAAGAAAATGAAGAATATTGATAAATCTATCATAAATTTCGAGTTGTGGAGAAATATGAAGCATACACCACGTTCTTTCTTCTTCGATATCATCGAATAGACGACGATGAATTGGATCATGAAGAATAGATGCAGCAACTAATAGAACAATGACCCATATCATTCGTTTTGCATATTTTTTGCTGGTTGCCTTATTGAAACCAATGCCTAAGAAAACAACAAGAAATCGTTCGACTGTCACACAAGCATGTAACCAATCATTGGTGGCTAATAGAAGTCGAAGTAGATATTCATTTGAACGACAATTAAACCAGAGGAAAGATCGACTAGTAATAATATTCATTTGAGAAAGAATAAGAAACCATAATTTAATATTTAAAAAAATGATTATCAAAATCGATGTTATTGATGACGCAAATAGATAAAGACCACAACCTATTTCTCGTATTGATTTTATCTGGAATGTCAGATTTGACAGAATACCACTAATGAGACCAATAATTAATATTAATGTTGCTAATGTTATACTGATTTTGACAGGTAAAGATTGTTGATTTATCGATAGATATGGTTGAATATGATAACCCAAAATAGAATCAAGTGAAAGACCAGAATGTTTGGTAGTGAACTGACATTTGTCACCATAAAAACATTCTTGACAATTACATATAGTTTTTGTTGGACAATGGGGATGATCTTGAAAGCATTGTGCTCCATTTTGACAATCATTGTAACCCAAACAATCGTAAGTCATATTAAAATTAAAATGAAAACAATTTGCATGTCTTTCTTGTGTACACAGACACATAAATGTCTCATTATCATGGAAACACATCAGATGAGAATGGTTTTTACATACCGTATGATAGTATTTTACACGATGAAGAATCGGATAACCAACAATGACTTCATCAAGAAGTTCCCGAATGTGTGGACAACGTTGTGACGAAGAAAGTTGTGTAGAAATAACAATTGAAGGTGTATATTCATGTTGAAGTACAATCAAATAATAAACATACTTAAGTTGAACAAAGACAAGATGAAAATCCGATGCCATATGAAATGTGATTATCTTTTGATTAAATGGGATTTTCTTGAACATAGTTATTCGACTGGGCGCTGGATCTGTACTCAAATCATGACGTTTTGCCACTTTGATGAAGTGAATCAATATAAATTGTGTAAGTTCTACATCAGAAAATGACATGTCAATTTTTACATCTTTTTCTTCGCAATTGTCGCCAAAAAATCCCTCTGGACAGACACATGTGAAATTTGTCGAAGAAATTCGAGGATCAGATGGCACACAAATACCTTTATTCTCACAGGTATCCATTTGACAAATTGAATTAAGATAACATCGAGGACCAACTTTTGTTAAAGAACAAAGACAAATTGATCGATTATTGATGAAACCAATACAGATTGAATCTGGTGAACAATTACATTTATCTTGAATCATTCGATCTGAATGACATCGACAAGAATCAGTGTTAATATTTCTTAATGATTCAAGATATTTGTCACTGCATAATAAATGACAACCTTGATATGTTGGAATTGTTAGTAGAGCACTCATACGATTGATAGGCATAAAAAGAAATTGAACTGGAAATATCCAACTGGTCATATAAGTAAGATTTCTTTTATTATATGCATCGATATAGACTGAATAATTCTTTGACATATTCTTCGGTCGATCTTGATAAAGAAGATGTAAATTGTATTTAGTATCACAATTAATTACAGGAACGTATGTAACTTGTTCATATGAATGAACAAGACCAATATGATCAACAAGTCTAATAACAATACCAATCACATGAAATTTTTCTAAGTTTTCTTGACGTATTCGAATAGTAAAAGTAACGCGTTGATTTTGAAATTGACAAAAATTCCCATAATAATGTGATGAACAAAGACAATGTACTGTTTCATCCTTATTAACAAGAATTACAACACCTCGATGGCATAACCATGCACGAGGATCATCTTGATATTTAGCAACATTCATTTCCATATTGTCTATTATACGATGTTGCTTATGTTTTTGAACAGGTGATGGTAATTGCATACGAGGAAAATTAAGTGAAGATTTATGCGAGAACGACATTTTAGTATAAAACCAAATGTTTTGTGCATATTCTAGATAAGTAGTAATATCCAGAATTTCTTCAAAAGGGTGATCACATAAATCAATGTCGTCAACATTTTTGCAAAGTCTACAGCGATTAGAAACGTGAACACATTTGGTGTCATTCCAACAGCGATAACTTTTGAGACTATCTTTCGGATATAATGATCTACAATAAGATCGCTCATCAGTTGCTCCAAGACAATCGACAATTCCATCTTCAGCATATCTCATATGTAAACAACTCATTGTCTCATTCTTTCCAGTGAGACAAGGATGATGATTTGCAGGACACCGAAAACTTGATGAACAGTTAATTTCATCAATGCCTTTTGGGCAATTCCATACTGAATTACAGCGTGTATATTGGTTGACACATTGCCACTGTTCACCACAATGAGTTTCATCAGTTTCATTTGTTAAATTCAACATATCAATCCAATTATCACAAATAGCAGAAAAAGGAAGTTGACGAATATCAGTTATGATAATATCTTGAACAAACTCATCCTCTTTGTCCACACAGTGTGCCGTTCGATCATTCACGAGAGTAGGTCGAAGACATTTTTGTTCCGATATACATTGAAAGCGATCTGTATCATTCAATGCACATGAATTAGCTGAGAGTGATTCATCGAAATTGTCGTAACAATCCGAAATGCCATCCATAATTTGACGCTTAGAAATGCATTTACTTGTTCCCAAACAACGTAACATAGTCGGATATAGACAGTGAGTGTCATTCATACTTTCAAAGAATTGATTGCATGAAATAAATGGCTTGTAAAGTTGGCTATATGATGAGAAATTCAAAGCATTCATATGTATACATGTATAATTTTCCACTGTCAGTGTTGGTATAAAAAATGGACAACGTTTTTTGTCATAACAGATAAAATTAGGTGTGCCCAAATTACTTTTGCTAAATGTTTGATTAGAAAAGTATCCTAATCTGACATGACCATCCCACACGGGTATAGTAGGTGCAATGAATGCAGCTGGACACGACTGAATAATTTGTATTTTACATTCTTCCTTATTCTCACATAAGTGTTTGCAATACTCATCAAATTCCTTCGATGAAAACATAACCGACGTACATATGAGAATCTTGAAACACCGAGGAAATCGTGTGTCTTCATTATTGTGCCAATCGATTAGGAAGTTCAATACTTGATCTCGCTTATTTTTACAGGAAGCTTCCTTGTGTGGTATACTATACCAAAGCTCATGGCCATCTCCACAAGTAAAATCAGAAATGGATCGAGACATGATATCTTCGCACCTAAAAAGTGGAATAAATTTACATGGACTTACTTCTTTGTTTATACGTTCATCCGATCTATCTAAACACTCTGGACTGATGAAACTATTCGGTTCATCTAATAGAAACACTTTATCGACACAAATTCCATTTCGACATTGATATTCGTTTTCTTCACATATGTTTAATTCAAGTTCGAGACAATATTTTTCATCTTCTCCACCATCGACACAATCGACTTTTCCATCGCATACTTCACGCCAATCGAGACAAATATAAGGTGAACCACGATTACATTTCAAATATATATAACAAGTAAAACTTGCATTTACATCTCGGTCTCCATACCTATAATCTATTGCTTCGATCAACTGTGGAAATGATTGATTTACAATGAATTTATATTGACAGAGCGGTCCGAACCATGGTAGAGTACAATTATAAAATGCTTCGTTGGATGAAGATTTGTTCATTTGTAAAAAATGTTCATATCGTTCAATAAGATCAATAGGACTTGACCATTCCATTAGATTCTTTCCCGTTACATTTTTTCTTCTTCAATTCATCGAAAGTTAATACAGATGATATGGATTTTCCATTACTGCCTATTGCTGTTTCTTTCATAGATGTTCGAATGCAATATTCAATTATTTGTTGAACTAGATTTTTTTTCTCATCCAATTGTCTCTGGTCAGCTATATCCAAATAGAAACAATCGTGAGAAATACCATTAGTCTTTACATCGGTATTGTAAAGATTGTAGAAAGGTCGCCATGTGTTTACATGAGAAGCCACGTAGACTTCACTAATGATAATAATGATATTAAATAATAAAAAGATATTCATCTTGATAACAATATATCTAAAATGATATTTAACCTACTGTGTAAAAGTCTTGACACAAACATATTTGTCTTTTTTCTCAATGTTTGCCATTTAGATGAATCAAATTAAGAATCTTTCATTTAATGCTAATTCAATAGATATATTTGTTTTTTTTTAGATAAAAAACAGCTCGTTCTAATCGAGAACATCATGCACAACGTATTGTACAATACTATACTACTATCGCAAACCAGAAAATAGCTGGAACTGTGGAAGACAAACCCCGAAGTGGTCATCTCAAAAGGTTAGCGAATCATCAAAATTTGGAGTTTACCGAACGACGATTTAACATGAGCTAAAACCCATGAACATTGGGTGTGGATGTGGGTGTAGTTGTGGGTGTAGTTGTGGGTGCGGGTGAGTATGGGCATGGGTGTGAATGAGGGTTGGTGTATTCGTGAGTAGAGAAGAGACACCCTCATCTACATCTCATCTACCTAAACCCTCAAGAGCAGTGACAGCGATAGGTGGTAGTGTGCGGATGGCTCATCGTCATCGTTGCATCCCCAGTAGTGCAACACTCGAAAGGTGAATTCAATTATCCCCTAGCTCGCTGCCTACCAATCATACTATCGTTCCACCCATACTGAGCTCGATGCTCACCGATTATAACCCTCACTCTCTGCAATAATTGAATAATTGACTTCAAGTTTCGAATATTACATATATGTGTCTCATTGAGAATAAAGCAAGTAACGCATCTGCACTTGCTCATTGACATCTATCCATACCGTGATGGTTCGATGGTCTACTTACGTAAATCATTTAACTTCCATAATTATCTATTAAGTGGCGGCGCCGAGGGTGGGCTGGAGTGGGCTCATCCCACCCTGAAGTTTTCTTCCAATCTTAAAAAAACCAATGATATTCTATCTGAGCTCACCCTATTTGAAATTTACTAGGCCTGAGCCCACCCTGTCTGAAGTTCATTAGGCATGAGCCCACCCTAGTCAAGAATCCTGACGCCGCCGCTATATCTATTACTCTCTATTACAAAGTAGATATTAAACATAAACTTACCGTATCTTCTGGTGTTCTTCTCTACATTAAAAAATTCAATTGAACTGAATATGTATGCAGAGTTACACAAATAAAAAACTAAAGATGATAGAGAATAAGATCGAACAGATACTATTGTTAGAAAAAGTAAAAATACAATTTAAATAACTTGGAAATCTCTCTAATCACATCTCGAGTATTCTCACATGACAAAAAAAGCATTTTTTTCTCCCTTTAATCTCGAGTCGGGTGTGTAACACAATCATTAAAATAATATGAATGCATGACGTATATATATCTAGTTTTTCTCTCATGTTTATCTCCGTAATGTATATCATGCGCATAAATGTATAAATCTGACAACAGATGTCATTTTTATTCTGTTCACATTCAGAGGAATAGAAAATTGTCGATGATATAACGCCTACTTTTTCTCGTTAATATAAAAAATGTTTAGCGATATTGAAACTAACGATGATGAGATATTTCTGTTCTTATCGCTGTAGAATATTCATTATGTGACGGGCTATAACTGTGAACGTTCACACAGACAGAAAAAAGAATTAAAACAGGAAGCTGTGATATAAATGGAAAAACAATGCGCAAAAATGAAGATTAAAGGACAAATATAACAAAAAAAAGAGGCATAATAAATAGAAAAGGATATAGGACTACATTTCACAATAAAACAAAACGGCAGAAATACGAGCAGATGGAAGGAGAGAAAGTTTTATTTATTGGATAAATTGAGAAAAAATATTGCATTTAACATTTTCAAAATCTAAAATATCACTCAAATATTGTCAGGTATATCGAATATGAATTTTTGGTGAATAAACAAAGTACGGTACTTCAATTGAATCAGATTGATTAAATTTTACATTAGTGGTAAAGAACAAGAGACACTGATACTATTTGTTTTGTTAGCTGACAAAAATTGATGGTGAAAATATTATTCAATTAGAATTATTCGTATCAAGATTTCATTTCAATAAAATAGACGGAGCGGGTGTGCGTATCTCTTGTTCATCTAACGAGAACACCCATCGGCACTCACACTCCCTTCCATTTTAGTTTTATTTTAAACTTTCCTTCTTTGTATACATAAAGTATTTTTTTCATTTGCACAGCCTTCATGAGGGCTTACATTTAAATACATAAGATAAAACGCGTTGGCGAACTTAAAATTGTATTTATTTAATTATTTTACAAACACATCTTAAAACAAAAAAATCGATATTCTGCATACAAGTCGATTACTGAAAAGCAAAAGTAGGGACTACTAGATAAAACTTTTTTTTTCGCTAAAAGATGGACTGACCGGTTGCCGATTGATTCACTCCCACACAGGGCCTAAATATACCACTCTGTTATTGCGTAGTGCGTCACCGAGATGTTGTGCTCCTTCCACTCCGATGTTGTTACCATTGAGTTTCAAGATGGTGAGTGTCTATATAAGAAATTACAAATAGTTATGTGAAATAGGTAAAGAGTGAATGAATATTACGGTGTTAATTCGTAATACAACACCTAGATGTTGTGCTCCTTTATCTCCAATATTGTTGGCATTGAGATTCAGTGCGGTAAGTGTCTGTATGAGAGAGAGCAAATAGTTACGTGAAATGCGTAAAGAGTAAATGAATATTACTGTGTTATTTTGTAGTGCATTACCGAGGTGTTGTGCCCCATCAGCTTCGATGTGGTTGTACATGAGATCCAGTGTGGTGAGTGTCTATATAAGAAAGGACAGATGGTTATATAAAATAGGTGAAGAGTGAATGAATACTACGGTATTAACTCGTAGTGCATCACCTAGATGTTGTGCTCCTTCGTGTCCGATTTTATTGGAAACGAGAATCAATGTGGTGAGTGTCTATATGAGAAAGTACAAATAACTATGTAAAATGGATGAAGAGTAAATGAATATTACTGTGCTAGTTCGTAGTGCATCGCCGAGATATTGTACTCTTTTATCTCCGATTTCATTGTTCTCTAGATTCAGTGTCGTGAGTGTCTGTACAAGGTTTTTGAAGATGGATATAAAAAAAAGATTTCAGAATGATTGTGTTATTGTGTAGTGTTTTCAATCGGTGTCCTGAAGAGATGGATTGGAGATCATATTATAAGTGGGAAAAAGCGGATTCCGAGATTTTAGGATCAACAAGAATCTGCCTTTTACATCTTGCGGGATTCGCTTTTCTCCCCTTGTCATATACGTTCTATACAGATGTTTTAATAATTGAGACCCACTGAAAGTTGCTAGGCATTTGTCAAGAATACACAGAAGTTCTCAACGTAGTCTCAGAATGTTATCATTGTAGAGACGGGATGAAGTGAAGTGAACTCCTCTCTGCTACCTCAAACATTCTAAATGGTGCTACAGTTGTACGTTCATGCCTCTATAGGTTCTCAATAAACTTCACCTATCACCCCTTCTACTTCAGACTTGAGCGAATTTGTAGACCTGCTGCTCTCCTCTCTCAAACACTTTTAGTGTAGTTTTACCTATAGTCATACCTGCACTCATTCACATCTGTTACGAATTTCACTCAGTATCGGCTAACGAGTAAGTGTAAAAAGGGAAAAACATGCGAACGAATATTTGTTCGGGTACCAACTTGATACTTAAGTCTTTTATGAGTAGAGCGAAAAAAAACTTGAAGATTGATGAACATTAGTCGGGTATAATAAAACAAAGCCTTACCTGATATCCATCGTAGATGTCCAGGATTTGATTCAGTCGCTGACACACATTTCGCATAGAACACAGCAGAGTAAAATCACTCTGATGATCCAAAATTCGATAGACAAGTTCTACCGGTAATGTAACTAAACTTGACATGATTTTGTTTGTCTCTAATAGAAACTGTTGTAATGTATGATGTGTTGTTGCTTGTATTTGTTCTCTTAAAATGCGTATTGACTTCACCTGTGTCGTTTTTTTTTCTATTGATGATACAATTACGCATTCGAAGAAAGAAAGGTAGAAGAAAGAAGTCGATGACAAAATGTCCTTCTTGTACACATAGGTAGGAATAATGTTTTGATTGGTAGAGGTTTAGCGATACCATGGAGTATGATAAGTTTTAAAATATGGTAATTTTGATTATTAAAAAAGCGATAGTAAGAAACTATGTTCGTACATATTTAGTGTTCTTTCATTAAACGAATCGTTAAAACATGTATTTTAAAAGAACAAAAAAAAGTATTTTCTCATTAAATGGTTGTGTCGCCATCTGCTAGCGTCTCTCAGTGTTGTATTTTTAATAGTCATTTTAAGGAATCCAACAAATTAAGAGAAAACATGGACGCTGTTATAGAAGCACACGGAACCATGTCCCATCAGGTTAATTTAGCCGTGTGGTGCGGGTATGGATTTGAGTAGGAATGAAACAGAGATAATCACCTACACCCACTCACTCTCAAGATGGTATATGCATAATATTATTGCACAGATAGATGGTGCACTATATCGATGTTCAGTAATAGAGGTTTCACTGTATTATTAAAAATATATAATACGAAACGATGATATGACGCATCTCGTTTTTGCGTTCTGTCCACGTTGTGAAATAGAGGATGCGTCCTTGGGAGAGATAAACAAGCGTCACTGAGTAAAAGAAAGCCATTCCCTACCTTCGAACGATATATATTCGAGACAGCGATTATTGATCAAGTAAAAATCAACTTCATTTATTCAAGTATTACTTTAATTGTAAGTAGACTGGTATCATCTCTGAGTTTTCATACTATGACACAGACTAACAGTAGACGAAAATAAAATGAAAACAACAACGAGCTACCAGAAACAATAGGCATTTATATTTGCTGATCACTTAGAATAATGAAGAATACATTCACAGCCGAGGACGATCAGAAGTATACAAATAGCTGTACTACTTTATTGTAATTTTTTCTTAAAAATACCCACAGAGACTCCTAATATTTCACATAGACAGATCTGATACACAGTTTTTGAGAAAGAACGTTGAAATTGATTTCTAGATTCCTAACTTAGTCACGAATTTCTCTGATATCTTTTGAATATTTCAATTCAACGGTAAATACTTACTATCACTAAAATTTGGAGTGCGATCGACCGTGAAACGAAGGGCTTTTTCTGCAAGCACAATCCCTAATATTTCATTCAACATATTTACGTTTAACGTCATAAGGAGTACTGTTCATTTAAATCAAAACTTTGAATGCCGAAGTCTATAAAAAGAAGATATTGTATGAGAAGTGAATTTTGTGAAATATAATAAAATTTAGTATAGATGAAGACGAAGAATGTATTTCTTTGATACTCAATCACTGTCAACAATTTTTCTAAGTCTTTATCACGACAAAATAAAACTTCTACAGTCTTGTGTCTGAGTGATTTCACGATTACTTTCTTTATATATTCATCTGTATGTTTTCACCTATCTGTTTTATAGGCCTTCGAAAAATGATTGTAATCAAGATGGAGAGTGAAGTTTTACTCTACAAATGTGCCGTGATAATCTCCAGCTTTGCACCAATTTCAATGGGTCTCCTCGGACTTCTAATTGGGCCACAATCAGCTACTATATCAATAGGCAATCTAAGCTCTGCTCAAAGTCAACAAGATTATTCGATATCATTGGATTGTCACTATCGTTATTTATCAGGATTACTATTAGGAGTTGGTCTATTGTTTTTGTATCTTGTGACAAGAGTTTTGGAAAAAGAAACAAACAGAATTCTGAAAATGCTTACTTTTATTGTTGTACTAGGTGGATGTGGACGTCTGTTGAGTTTGGGAGGATTCTATCAAGGTCAAGTGAAATCAGTGAATGGAAAAATGTTATTGGGATTATTTATGGAGTTAGTGATCACACCAACGTTGTACATGTGGCATAATAGAATCATGAAAATTACAGACACGTCAACAAAAACAAAAGTTCAGTAACAATTTTTCTCAAATTGGCAAGTCAACAATAGTATAATAAATATTATAATTTTTTAAGAATTTTTATTGATTTTTTCAAAATCTTACGTTAAATTAACGTATACAAAAATATAAACAAGAGAAAAAAAAGAAATAATAAATAAGGAAATAGGGTGACTGTGTAGGTGTGCATTTTCACACGAGCCACACCTACACCTTTACAATCATCAAGACTTTCTTGTACTTTTACCAAAAATAATGTCTTTCATAATACTAAATGTCTTCTTCCGTTACTGCTTATTCTCATGCACTATGAATAGACATTTGACGACCCAATCAGTTAATGTAAAAGAAGTAATTTCTGCATCTCGTTACAATTTAAGATTATATTCAGGCTAATTATGGTGCTTATTATTTCATTCTAAATAGTTCTGAAATAGACGATGCTGCGACATACAATTTATAGCACTATTGCTCTTTTAAGTAATCAAAAGTTACTTGATGAACTATTCAATAAGCTAATATTTTGATATCTAACAATGAGAAAAACGCGTTACGAATAATATGTATACTTTTTCTTACAGTAATTATAGTCATTTATGATCTTTTTGTTCTCACTTTCTTTATCAAGATTGATTGAAAAATAAGATGGCATATTCATTTCTTGTATCGCTAGTTCATTAGTGATGTTTTATCTTTCATTTAAGTGAAATGCCTTTATGAATATAGTTAAACAATTAGTAAGGTCATCTATTTTATTGCATTTTTATTGACAGACAAGTGATAGAATTGTTCCTGTTTCACGTTCAAGAATATTACGTAATAATCAGGCTAACATAGTTTTAAAGCGCATCTTTTTTTTCTGTCCATCAATTCATTTATGTTGCTGATTTTCTTTCGAGTTAAATAGATCTTTCATAACTTTTTATTATCATCGAGAAAACTTGTTATTGATAAGAGTCAAGAAACACTTGAATTGGAGATTATTAAGAATGTGAGTGGATGAATGAGGGTGAATGTATATGTAGATGTATAGATATGAACTACTCATCTTTCATACCAACATTCTCATGCACACCTACACAATAGAACCTTTCGAGATGATTTATCTCTTTTCTAGATTTTTATATTCCGCATTTATTTTCTTCCAGATTTTTCTGTTCCGGATTTTAATCTTCCGGATTACTTGACATATTCAAATCTAACTGAGCGTTGATAACAGTTAGAAAATATCAAGATGTATTGTTTGGTTTTATAGTAGCTAGATTATACGGATGAACAAAGACGGAAATTAAGTAGACAGAAAATAAAGTGAGTACGATAATTATTATGTAAATGACTTTTACTTTATCTAGCTAATTAGTCTTCATGTACTGTGATCCTTCTCATCAACCAGTTTAGTTCAGTGTAGAACCATTCATGCTTATGTTTCTGTCTTCCGCTAATGCTCAAAGGAAAAAGATTGCTAATCAAATAGTATATTCAAGTTGATGAGAGTTTAAAAATAAAGAAACTATATATTATGTTTCACTTCTTCTAACTCTCTTCATTACAGTATACACATTCCGACATACATTTTATTGACGCAGTAGAAAGATAAAAGTGCATCTACGATTATCATGTCATCATCATCCGAGATATTATCTATACTGACTTCTGTACAAACATATTTATATCAATTTGTTTGTCCAATATTCATGCTAATGGGTACTGTTGGTTCTGGAATCAATTTAATTGTATTCACTCGAAAAAATCTACGAAAAAATCCATGTTCAATCTATTTCATCGCATATAATGTGGCTAATTTAGGGTTCATTTATTCTTTGTTATTATCTGCAACGATGGAAGAAGGATATAAAATTAATGTTAGTATACAGAGTCTGATCATTTGTCGTCTACGTCTATATAGTGGTATTTTATTCGATGTTCTCAGTCCATTTTATTTAATTTTGGCTTCGATCGATCGAATACTGATCACTTCACAGAATGCACGTGTACGACAAAAAAGTACCCAACGTCGTGCTCTTCTAAGTGTGATAGGTGGAACATTATTTTGGGTATTATTTCAAAGTCATGCATTAGTATTAACAAATATTATCCAACTTGGTCCTACTCTATTTGTTTGTTATTTTCAACTGGGTGTTTATTTGAGTTTCTACAGTTATTATTCGATCGTTAAACAGATTATGTCACTCGTACTAATGATTATATGTGGATTATGGTCGATTAGAAATATTCGAAATTTAAATCGTGTTCGAACTGTTCCTGATGTATCTGTCGTTCGAACTGCTTTTGAAAATAACTCCCATTCAGCCACGGCGAAAGACCGTCAAATGATTCTCATGTTACTCATAGATATTACTATTTCTGCTCTATTCAGTTTTGTATATGCTATCTATCTGCTATATTTACAAATAACACAAAACTACAAAAAAACATATGATGAAAAGCGCATTGAAAATATCATTGGATACTTCGGTCTATTCAGTATTGGTATACCATATTGTGTTAGTTGTTATGCAAATTTCATTGTTTCGAAAACGTTTCGAAGCGAAATTAAAAAAATATTTCTATGCAGATAAACATTTCGTTGTTGTATTGATGTTGTTCAGTGCCTGTAACAGATTATTCTCGAATAAAATGATGGATGTGGGTGGGTGGGTGCCGATTGCTCCTACACTCACACTCTGTTATATATCGTTTTGTTATTTCAAATATGTATATATATATATTATATTACAAAAGAAAATGAACATAAAACATCTGTTGACATATTCAGTTATTAATGAATATTTACAAAAAAAAATGTTATTGATTTGATTCTAGTTTAGATTGGTCAATCTATCAAGTAAACGTTCGATACAAGAAATTTGTTCAGTTCCATTTTCAAATCGTTTTCTTAAGATTAATGCTTGTTGTAATAAATCAAATGCTAATTGATTTTCTTGACGAATTAAATGTATCTTAGCGACATGAAATGCATAATCAGCCCAATCAAGTATATCATTTGGTACAGAATTTATTGCATGTTTATAGAATTCATAAGCATTATTAATATCATGTTTAGTTTCATATAATAATGCAATTCGAGCATAATTTTTTGCCACTTCTATATGTGAATTTGCAATGGAATTAACTGAAAGACAAGCTAAATTGTATATACTCGATTCATCATTATCGGTTGATATTTGACGTTTTTTAAAAGTACGTCGTATTTCATAACGATTACCTGCATTATTTATTTGAAGTATTCGTTCGATTGAATCATCCTTTGTTCTATCCGATAGTTTTTGTTGTTCTCGATTAAATTTTAATATATCAAGAGCAGTTGGTCGATTTTTATCACCATCATTGACATCAGCAAGACATTGATTTATTAATTTATCTATGAGAATTTCATTTCGACGAGCAACAGCATAAGATAAACATGTATCACCAAAATTATCCTAAACGAATATTAAATTCTATTATAAAAAAAAGAAGAAAATAAACATACATACTTTTAAATTTACATCATTAATATTTAATTCAATTAAATAATTAAGACATTTTATAGATTCATATTGACATGATAGCATGAAAACAGTTCGACCATGTTTATCTCGTATTGATAAAGCTTTTAAACAACGTTCATGAATTGCGGCTGTCTTTTCTTCTGAAAATGATGCAATTCGAGGATTGAAACATGTTGTTAATGCTTTCAACATTTCAACATCATCTCGTTCGACTGCATAATGTACTGCTGTATGTCCATCATTATCTTGACAACATGGATCACATCCATGCATCAATAATAAACGTACCCAATGATATGGATACGCATGTATTGTGAGAATATGTAATACAGTCTAGAAATATTTATATTAATAAAAGATTTAAATTAAAGATCATATATTTACTTGTCCATATTCATTTTTCATTTGTATAATATCTTGATGATAAATATTCATTGATTGACGAAATGCATCGAATTTTCCATGACGAAGTAAAGAAAATATTTCCGATGGGCATTTAGTTGCTGTAGGAAGAAGAATTGAACCACAAATACTTGTATGATAAAGATCAGACGATTGTAAATCTGTATCAGCCATAATATGTTCTAAAATATAATATACTATATCAAATATCTATATTGAATTATTTTCAAAGAATCATGAAAATTTTTATTGATGAATTGTATTTATGTAGTCTAAATGCCACGTTTTTGTTTCTTTTCTTCTCTCGATGCATCTAACATACACGAGGTCTCCTTTAATGATCTTTACTATTCACTTATAAAAGACGATTTTTTTTATTTGTATTTCGAGATAACTAAAATAATAAAAATTAGACGTTACTTTTATTTAATAAATGAAAAAATTTATCGATATGACTTACTAACAAAAAGAAACTAAAATTTCGATATCATATTTATTCTGAGAGAACGAAATACATATAGTTTATATGATGTATACTATACCTTCACTGTTGAAATGTATAGCTATTATAAGAAAAAAGACAAGTGAATTTTTCTAGTCAATTCACATGATTTTATAGGTGAAGCAAAGAAAGATATGTTTTTTTCAGAGAGCGCGTACTTCCCCCATGTTGATGCAATGAGGTTATAGTTGAAATCACTTCCTGAATAAAATAAAATATTATGTTTATTTTCTTTTAAAAAAATCAAAGGTACCTTATTTATTTACATAAGAGGCGATGAAAAATATTAATGTTTACTCAACCGACAAATATGATTTTCCACTTTCCTTCACTTCCTTTTTTTTCATGTATATTTAAAAATAGTAGAAAAATATTGACATGATTTATGCATTTAATTTTTTATATCGATAGAACGGCTATCAGGAACTGACAAAAACAAATGACTGCACAGTTTATGATAAAAAAAACGGAAGTGAAATGCAATTGTGACGATTTCTGATATAATAGGTACCATAAGTATATATTTATTTCGTTCCTTATATAGTATCAGGAACGACCATAGACACAATAACAGAAAAGAATGCAAAGATTAGAGCACATCATGTGGATGAGATGCACGTGTTAAAGACATGTGCGACAGATCGACAAATTAATATTGATTCGAAAGTGCACATACAAAAAGAAAGAGAGTATAGAGAAGTAATGAAGGATATTTCATTCGCATGTGAGTACAAAGAGACGAAGATTCCACATGTATCTACCTTCAAAAGTCTCATTTCTAACCGCGAATGATACAATATGAGCGTAATTCATCTTGGTAGATTTTTATTTTTATATGAAAATGTTAAGCAATAATGAACATCTATTCGTAAAAAATTAGTTCTTATAAAAATTTAATATCTATTTTGCGTGGTGTGGTATGGTATAATTCGTCATTTGAGGTGGTGCTTCTTTTGAATAACAGCAACGATTTTTTCGTGAAATCCAACATGAAAAACCATCGCCTTTATTACTTTCTTCGTATTTAAAATATCCCTTAGGACAAACATTGTCAAAAAAGCAAAATGGAGCAGTACCATACCATTTGCATTCAATTCTGGGTAACAGTGAAGTGACAATTACAAAATTAAATAAAATAAAACATATTTGAAGGACCATCGATGAAGTCATGATAAACTGTTTTGTTATTATATATAAATAAAAAGAAACTATATCTTATCTACTATCTTATATTATACACAATTGTATCTCTCTCAATTCTTTGAGAAAAAAGAAGAAGAAAATGTTTCTATCAACAAGCAATAAACTTGCTTGTCAGATTATCAGCCTACTAATACGTTCTGTAATAAAAATATTTTCGACATACTTATGCTTCTTTCTCAACGATTATCTATTCAATATTTCTTTATTATTACGCGTTCTGTCGATTATTAAATACTTTATTTATCTATTCTGTTTTAATAAATAGACAAAATAACAATAGAAAAGTAATATAATCAGTGAAATAATAATTGCTCTCATATTTATTCGTACAAACTAATATATCAGCAGATGGACCTCCAGGCAATGTATACACTTTTGATAAGTTTTCTTTTGCATTTGTAATTAACTCATCTTCATGATTAAATATTGGTTGTACATACAATGATCTATACTGAAATAAAACCCATTCTACATGTTCTTTATCTTCTTCAGATTTCTCTAAAGAAAATGTATGTCAAAATAATTTTATCAACCTGTCATATATTCTTAATTAAATGAAACTAATATTCACTACAGAAATTCAAATCAAATGCGATAAAAACAGCAAATTTGTAAAATAAGTTCATCATGATGAACAAGAACATCTTTGATCTACAAGTGAAATTATTGCTTTTGAATATTTCGAAAACCATTATTAATTACCTTGTTCATCTATACAATAGACATGAATCACATGTTTGTTTAATATATTCTTCAACATCATGAAATTTTCTCAAATCATTGATTATAGAACGTAATTTCTTATATATGACCGATGCTTATCTATATTCTTTTACTTGTAGTGGATGCTGAATAAATGACGTTTGCTGGTATTCTTTGTTTTTCCTTATCAACAGATATATAAATGTATCTCTTTTGATCACAAGAAGGACTTAGAAATAAAAATAAGATTGCTATATTGATTCTTCTTCTCTTTTCCCGTTAGTTATTGAATCCTTAAGAATATATTATATAAATATCGTTACAATTTCATTTTCTCTTGATAATGGTTTCAAAACAGTCGAAAGCTCGAGTTTGTTAAATAATTCAATTTATTTTGTTGCTTTTTGTTTATGTCACGTATATTATTACATTAATTATTACAAAAATGATGTCGACTGCTATAAGTTTCATCAGACGTGCACACAAGTACATATTAAAACTAAGAAGAAAAAGAACTTTGTGTTAAAATTTTATTAATTGACAAGTAATTAAGATAAGTAAAATAAATGTGAATGTTTTACCGAGTGCTATCACACATAGACCGATACCAATAGAGTTGAGAATATTGTATGTGTATTAAATAAAATATCTTTCTTCAAAAGGATTCGTTTTTATTAGAAACGATAATAAATACGTCATATTCTCTTGAAAAGAAGCCTGTGCATGTTAACTTGACACGCATGGTAAAAATTATCATATATCTTATAGAAAAACGCAGTTTCATTTGATAGTTTCAATATACTTTCGCTATAAGTCGATATTTTTTAACAAGTAATTATACATATGTATATACACTCTGCATTGCACTCTGGTTGTTAAACTCTTAGGAAAGTACATAATGATAAAAAGTTTCGTGTACTTTCAAATTATATATGCATTTATATAATAACAGTAAACTCAATGAACCATCCGAATATATAATTATTTGTCTAAAAATATTTATTTATAGTGATGATATATTGAAACTATCAAGTGACACTACATTTTTCCAGTAGATAAACTATAGTTTTATCATGCGCATCTCGTTGACATGCATAAACTTCTTTTCAAGAATATATTCTCTATTTATCATCTCTTCTATCAAAAGCAAATCTTTCTGAAGAAAGATATTTCATTTAATACACATACAATATGACAAACGACAACTTCACTGACAAGATTCTTTCCTCAACCGGATCTTTCATACCTAAGATTATTCTTGACTCTATTGGTATCGGTCTATGTATGATAGCCATTGGTAAAACTTTCACATTTATTTTACTTATCTTAATTAATCGTCAATTAATAAAATCTCAACACAAAGTTCTTTTCCTTCTTAGTTTTAATATGTATTTGAGTATATTTATCTTTACTCTTTTTCTTCTCGACATTTTCATTATAATGACCAACGTACATATTCACCCAACCATAGCTGACATAAAAAATAATACATTGTGGTGTCAGTTAAAAACTTATTTATTAACTATTGCTCTTATTTCTTCACTTTATTCAAATACACTTCAAGCTCTCTATCGATTTTTCCGAATTATCTTCTACACTCATCCTTATTTTTATCGAAATATTTACCTATATATTTTTGGTATACTGATCCAAATATTTTTAAGTGCACTACAACCGTTACCAGTTCTTCTTACAGGTGCATATCAATATGAAGATCATCATTGTCAGATGCTTTTGACGGATTGGCATGGAATAACAATGGGAACTTTCCTCATCTGGCTTTCACCTGTCACAATTACAGTAGTCATTTATGCATATACATGGCGTTATATACATCGATATTCACAAATACTCACTGTACGGCAACAAGCAAGAATTATACGTGATTTTACTGTTATACGACGTATCTTGTGGTTAAACGTTTTTCCATTAGTATTTGGCACACCGGAAATCTGCTTAACAATCGTCTATTGTGTGTCTGGTTATATTGAATGGTGGGCTAATTATTTATCATGGTTTACATGTATTTTATCTTTTATTGGTATGAGTATTATACACACACGTTTTTCACCACATCTTCGTGTTTTATGGTCAAGAAGATCAAATAGAATTAATCCAAATCCAGTAATAACGCTCCGAAATTTGCAATAAGTTATATTTTCTTTGTCTTAAACAAAATTTATTATCAATAAATTTTTCATCATAAGTGTGTTTCTATATTTTTCGTCAGCTGTAAAAAGATTGCGCACGGAAGAGAACTTATTTTCACAGAACAAGAAGAATTAATTGATGTCTCATAAAGAATTATCTGTCTGTACATCTTAACAGACATAGGTCAATCATATATTCTGATGCCATGTGTTTGAGGCAAATGATAATCTGAAAATTAAAATCCAACAAGTGTGACTGTGAATAGGTATGTATATGATGAATCTAATACACACCCATTCTCGATATATGATTTTATTATTCACAGCGATTATGATTAATCCGTTGTAAGACATAACGTGGCGAAACTATTTCTCTAATACAAAATATTCTTGAGGGTATGAGTAGGGGTGATACAAAAGTATTTAAAATCCACATTCACATCCTTGTCAACACCATCTTGAGGGTAAAAGTGTGAGCGTAGACGAATGGAAATTTTTATCTTATCTCACATTCAGATCGTCACCCACCACAAACACCCAACTCTATCCACAACCAAATCCATACGACAGTAGCAGTACGAAGTTCAGTAATATAATACTGATCTTTTTCATGATTTTATCAAAACTATTACAATAAGCTATCAAACATATGGAAATATGTCGATAACAAAATAAAAATGGGAGAAGCTGAAGTATATGGTCTAATCTGATACATCGCTCTACGAACAAATATATTCAAATTAACAATGATCAGTATATAGGCGAACGTGTAAATGATGAAATAAAGTTTCAGATTGTAAAGCACAATCAGTAAAGTTAGAAATCACGCCAATACATTTAAAATTCGCTCGAAGAAGTTAAGTTAGAAAGAGAAATAAATAAGAAAATTTGATTAAACTTACACAATTAATAGGATACATGTGAAGTAACATATTGACGAAATTAATGTGCAATAATAAAACGATAGTAAAGAACGTGTCATAGGAAATGACGTAATAATGATTAATAATACCTTTCTTGGTTTGTTTTTTTTTCTGTCGATATTGATAACATAAATATTGACATCATTCAATCACGTGGAAAATGATGAAAGTACAAGATGAATAACAACAAAAAGAACAGTATTATTCTAACAATATCGTGCGAACGAAAAGTGAACAATCATATTAAAATTATTGTCAAAATTTTGGGAGAAATATGCAGAATTTACTGATCGATGAATATGAATAGTCGAAAACGTAAGGGTGTGGGTGTGAGTATGAATGAGCGTCTACATTAACTCGACACCTACACCCTCAAGATTCTGTCTTTGTTTTTTTTTTCATATACACTTAATGACGTTTATAACTGCTTATAGAAACTTTATCGATCCTTTGTATTGTATAAAACATATATAAAATGGGAAATGAAATTATATAATGAGGATAGCTGCGAATAAAGGATGTGAGTAAAGGTTAACAGATGCTATACACATCAACATCCACAACCAACTTCATCCACACCCACACCCTCAACATTTTGATGCATAAACAGAACAAAAAAAGGAAAATGAATACTAATCATTCTGATACAATTCTGACAATAACTTTCCTTATACCGATGGTTAAACACTTTCCAAGCAGACAAGCATCGAAAAAAACGCGTTAACTTATTTAACGACGTTAAAACTTCTTATAGCTTTAAAAGCGTTAAAATGTGTTAAATTTTTTAATTCACTTATGTGGGCGTGTGCGTATTATGTCTGTAGTACCCACAGCCACACTCACATTGATGCCCTACACCCACACCCTAGATAGATAGATACATATAATGATATTTTGAATTACTTTGTAATTCCTTTCCGGCATGAACTCAGATTTCGTTTAACATTTGTGTACTACATTTCTCTTTGTCTTGATAAACTTTATTATAGTAAAAGATGAAGTAGATTAAACTTTTACTTTAAAAATTTTAAGACAACATAAAATATAAATAAGACAACGATAATGAGTACATACCTGATATAAGTCATGGTTCGCTGAACTTCTGTTGCCATTCTTGTGATAGACGTGGCAGCCTCGTTAACATCTTTTCCTCTTCTTCTGAGTAGTATTGTGGCTAGAATAGCTTTTTTTGTAGCAGCAGACATTGCAGCGGCTTTTAGAAAAGCTCCGCCAACCCTGATTCCAACTTCGCTAGCAAATTTTTTAGCAGTTAATTTAGCGCCAACTTGAGCCAGTGCTTTAGTTCCCGTAACAGCCGCTGAACCTACCATAAATGGTCCTGTCACAACGTCTACAACTGCAGTTGCTGTTGTGATTCCAGCTTCAATTTTATCTTCACTTGTGTTCGATAGTGCTGCTTTACCACTCTGTAGAACGGCGTCGGCAATAGAGAACGGGATACCTAAAGCAGGTGTATAGGATACCCAGGAGATCCATTTTTGATGACAATTTGTATCGCAATATTCGCAAATTGCCACACTTCCAATATTTACTTCTTTACATTCAGAACACAGCCATTCTCTACCAAGATCAAGACAACTATCAGACGTTAACTCATTCATGCGTACCGCTTTACCATAAGAAAGATATATGCCTCTTTTCAAATAACGTTGAACTGGTGTTTCTTCATCATCAACTACGGCTTGACCAATAATCTGAATATCATACCATGAACCATATGCTAAACCTTTGTCGAATTTGAATGAACGATTGATATTATCTTCTAGTCTTTGTAAACAAATTCCTTGAGATGGAGTAAAAATACTGGCTTTTCTGACGATGAAATTCGGATGATCATTTATCACTGAGAGTTCGGCACCCATGGTACTCACTTGATCTGAAACAAACAAAAGCCTTTCAATTTATATCTAGCCAACTTAAAATAAGAAAGTCTCTTTTGCTACAAACATCTTTTATTCAACAAAAGTTCACTACCCGGGCAGACAAGGAACGAAAAATACGGTGTTTCTACGTGTAAAAATGTGCGCTTTTTACGTGACGAAAAGAATTTTTTTTAAAGCAAAATGATGGAGACATCCTTTATTGTTCGCAACTCGACTTTTATTACAAAAAAAAGAATTTTTTTTGAAGCAAAAAAAACGCACATTTTACGCGCAGAAATACCGTATTTTTCGTTCCTTGTCTACCTGGGTAATAAGTACCGAAGAAATAAAGGATTGCCGTAGTATTTTGTAAAAAAGGTTTCATTTGCATGGCGAATGCTGATTCATTGTAAGCTGCGCAGGGTGTCGGTGTGAGTGACAGGTAGACTATATGCACGCCCACACAAAGATTGGAATTAGCGAGAAGATTATAAAATTAATATTTTCTTTCCCTCCTGATATATCGTGATTTATGTAGACTGACTTTCATGGAAAGATTGAATTTGATCAAGTCAAATTTGCCCATTCGACTCGACCAACATCTAATATTTTAAATGAATTTCTATTGTGCATTGAGCCAGGTAAGTAAGCTAAGTCTTAATTTACTTTTTCTTTCTTACTATTATAGTGTAATAAGGTCAACGTGTATCTCTTGTTAGTATGTACTGAATAGATTATCTTTTTTTAATTATTATCAAAATAATATAATTGATACAGATTCATCTAGTTGTGGAAAATCAATAATCATTCAACTATTAGAACGGTTCTATGATGTCACACATGATCAGCTGGTTAGTATTTATTTAATAGAAATTTTAATAACGTAATAAAATGTAGTTTCTCGACGGTATTGATAATCGACAATTGAATATTCAATGGATACGTTTTTGTTTTGGTCTTGCCAATCAAGAGCCAATTTTATTTGATCTAACAATTGGTGAAAACATAGCATATGAACTAGATAATGTTACAATGGAGGATATTATAAATGCAGCAACAAAAGCTAATATTCATTCTTTTATTCAACAATTACCGCAGGTAAGTTAGTTACAAGAAATAAATTACAGGGATAATAAATTTAATATATTTAGGGTTATGAAACAAGAGTAGAAATGAAAGGTAACTTTTTATCAGGAGATAAAAAACAGCGTATTGCTATTGCTCGAGCTCTTCTTCATCATCCTAAAATATTACCCTTGGATGAAGCTACAAGTTACATGGATTCACAAAATGAACAAGTAAGTTTGTTTAGTTTTAATTTTCATTTCAAATTTCATTTTTATTATTTTCTAAATATAGATTATACAACAAACTCTTGAACAAACTCACAAAGACGATGCCAATCGAACATCATTTATCATCGCTCATCGTCTCTCAACTATTAGACCTTTTGATTTAATTTGTGTACTCAACAATGGACATATAATTGAAAGTGGTACACATACAGAATTGGTACCATGACATGGAAGTTATTTTAGAATGCATGCTGAAGATAATTTATAATGACAGTTTGACGCAGAGTTAAAATGCTAACAAAATAAAGTCATATTTTGAAAAAAAAAATAAACATGAGAGAGGAAAAAGATGTATGATAGACACTAGACATGATAGAATGGTTGTGATTATTACACGTACATCATATCTCCACTCAGATCACCCTTAAAATGTAATTTTTCCGTTAATAATGTAACTGCAAGAATCAATGGAATTTGAAAATGAACGATTTGCAGTTAATGTTTCTTGATCAAACTCTTATTGATATGGATTATCTTTATTAAAGATTTTTTTGAGTCTAGTTAACTTGAAGTTGTTATTTATAACAATTGGAAAACTTTTAAATCCATGAAACTAAAAGATTTAAAGTGTTATGTAACATTAAATTGATCTATTCTCATAGACAGAGATAATTTGGTTATCATCCAGAAAAAGCAGTCCGATATATAACAATACCAAAATCAAGCATTCTGAACAGTGAATAAAAAGTCGTTTTTAATTCGTCCGAAGCTTGTTCTATCATTTCTGTATTATTGTATAACAGTTTTAGTTTGAAGCTGTTGATCGGTCGTATTATGAGGTTGCACTCGTATAGATCTTGGTCGCGATAATAGAACTTGTATTTTGGTAATTAAATATTTTCTAATTTTATCTGTAAAAATTAAGTTCAACAACATCCATATGCCAAAGCCGAATGAAAGCGAAACATAACTGACTCGTTGTGCATAAGGTAACGATTCTGCATTAGGAAAAAAATTAGCTCGAAGAAAGAAAATCAAATATGGAAAACTCATGAGTAATACAACACAAACGATAATAAAAAGGCAACCAATAAAACGAAGATCACGACGTTGTCGACGTTGGTCAACTACGTTATGAGAAATGTTTGTTGAAAAAGAGCGTTGTTTTGAGAAATGTACAATTCGAATATAAGTTGGGATAATGATGGCAAGTAGAAGGAAATAAATAAACATTGCTAGATACAGAAAGATGATTATATCATTTATTGATGCCTAAATTAAAGATAAAAATATATTTGAGGAGATCATCAACTAATAACACAGAAGATATATTCAAATTTCTATTGAAATTTTCGATGAAGAATGATTATAGAAACCTACCTGACAAATACGGCTACCGGGCTGATATACAATCCGACCAAGTACTAATGCTGGTATGCCAAATGTAGCAGAAATTAACCACTGAACACTCGTCATAGACACTATGACTTGTTTCGATTGAAAATAACGTCGTGCTGCAAAGACAACGACAACGAGACGATGAACTGCTTGAATACAAATTGTATGATACAAAAGACCACATCCAGCATGAAGTAGAAAACCTCGAAATGAACATAGTCTATCATTTCCATCACTTGTCAATTGATAAATTGCTTGACAACCACAAGTTATATTAATAATCAGACCAGCAACTGCTGAATTGAAAGCAAGCATAATGTTTGATGTATGAAATTCACGATGACAAACCACAATAACAATAAAAACAATAGCACAAGTGACACCACAAATACTACATAAAACCATCCATAGAGATGATGAAATCTCAAGAATATTCATGTTAAGAAAGAAGAGAATGAGATTAACTGAATAACTGAGAAACTTTTGACTACTATATTTTAGATGAATGCTAGAATAAAATGAAGTATTATATGGCATCTAAGTACAAGGATAAATGTCAATATGTCAATATACCATTATCCAGTCTAGTAAAGATCATAGAAGTACTTTCATGATTACCTTCCGTTGGAAAAAGATTATATTATTTGACAAAATGTCATTTTAATAGTAATCTTATGTGTGTTCTCTCATAATGACTTGCACGGGCAAATATTTCATAATGAGTACATGAAGAGACATTTTAGATAATTATTCTATGCTCTTTTTACATGAAAGTATTTTTTCCAACTTAAGTAGCTAATTTCATTTTTCGACAACTCACTCTCACTTTCTACCGCTTATTCAATCATAATATTCAACAAAATAATTTCATAGTTTGTTTTCTATAATAAATGAACTTGTAATTCAATATCAGTTATCATTACAACAAATTTAATCGAACACGTTTTTGTAATTATACATAGGGTAGTCAAAAAGTTTTGCAAACACCTGTCTAAATTTTCACCCTAATTGGTTTTATTCCTCATGTTGGCCTATTCTAGTAGTGACATCTGTTATGTATTAAAATACCAGTACGAAGTTTCATAGTTGTCTATTATGGTAAATTTTCAACGAACTTTTTGAATACCTCTATTTTCATATGGAAAAACAGTGTATACGTTCGTATATAAAAACTCGTTTATTATTAGGCTTAACAGCTACACAAATTCATAATGAATTAACTGCTGTTTATATGCCAGATGTAGTTTCATATAGTACAGTTACTCGTTGGATTCAACGATTTTTAAATGAGCGAGAGTCTTTGGAAGATAATCCTCGAAGTGGTCGTCCGTTATCCGCCATCACTCAACGAAATATTGATGAAGTTAAAGATCTGGTGAATGATGATCCACATATTACTATTGATTATATTGCTGACATCTTAGATATATCACATGGTAGTGTAGATACTATTCTCAAACAACACCTTGGGTTAAGAAAGATAACATCAAAATGGGTACCTCATAAACTGACAAAAGAACAACGACAACTACGTATTGATATTTGCACCGAAAATTTAAAGAAAATTGAACGTGGCACCTGGAGACTATGTGATATAGTCACGGGTGATGAAACTTGGATTTATCATCGCAAAATTATACCAAAAGAACAATCTAAAGCATGGGTAGCAAAAGGTGAAAGTCCTCCAACACAGGTGAGAAGACAACAATTCGAGCAAAAAACGATGTTTGTTATTTTTTTTATGACAAATGGACCATTACTTATTCACGAATTACCTTCTGGAACATCGATTAATGCTATTTATTATCGTGATGAATGTCTAAAAGAACTAATTAAAAATTTATATAAGAAAAGACCATCATCAACAGCAAATCATATTAAGCTGCATCATGATAACGCACGACCACATATGAATAATATTGTCTTTAATTATCTTCAAGAAGAAAAAATCAAACTTATGGCTCATCCACCATATTCACCTGACCTTGCACCTTCAGATTTTTGGTTGTTCAATTATCTGAAACGTGGTCTTGATACATGCCCAGATGCAACAAGTTTAGCGAAAATGTTATCCAGGGAGCTTTATTCAATACCTATTCATGAATATCAAAAGACATTCCAGAAATGGATTGAACGGATGAAACTTTGTATAGAACATCATGGGGACTACTTCGAACATTTACTGTAAAAAGATCAGCAAAATGTTTTTTCTATTAATAAATATTTGAATGTTGCAAAACTTTTTGACTACCCTATGTAGTAGTCGTATAATATAATTTGTTTACTTCAACACATCTGATCTTTCACTGATTCAATTATAACAGCAAGATTTATTTTAAATTTCTTTTCCAAACCAATTAGTAAAACTCAATACATCATACAATTGCTATAATAAAAGTATAAATTTTTACAATATGTGACTGAATATGCCAATTTTTCCAGTAAATGCGATGTACTCATTTATAACAGTCATTTTCAACATCCTTTTATAGATATTTTAAAAAATTTTCAGAACAGACAATAGTAGAACAACAAATATATTCAAGTATGAGTACCACTTCTTTGAGTATTTGGAAATACTTGATTCATATGTATACAACCAACCAGCTCCTTGAGAGAAATAACCAGCTGATTTCGAAATCTTTTTGATAAACAATAGCAATAAAATGAACTCTAAAAACAGAGAAGTATAAGTATTAGTTTAAAAAATAACAAGCAGATAATTTACCGCAAATGGTCCAAAAACATAAGTACCAGTAAATGAACTAATTAACTGTTCTACTGTTTGTCTATAGGTATCTTTAACTACATTTACTGTAACGACTATGTAAATTTGCCAAGCTGCATATGGACTATTGAACACTAATACAGCAAATATTTGAGATAATGCCATACTAATTGTTTGTCTTGTAAGAGAAGAAAGTGATCTTGTTACACTAATAGTTTTCATATGTCGAACAGTGAGGAATCCAAAAATAGAAATCACAGTGATTGGAATAATAGTGGCGATACCAAGAACGGCAACATAGCTACGATACTGAGCATAAATTGTATTTGTTGTAATGCACATGGGGGTACCTCTTACAACAACAAGATCTTGAGAGAAGTAGTAGGGTAGTTCATGAATAAACCAAACGCAAAGAGTACCAATTGCTAGATATCGTGCTATTCGAGTATTGCTCTTCTGTCGTACAACAACTGATGGAGAAGTACAAATGAATGCATCAATAGCTTGTAAGCAAATTAAAGTATATGTACTTAGAGCATTAATATCGGCAAAAGCTGTGCGCGTTTTACACCAAACTCGATTCGTTAAGGTAAAATTTATTTGAAAACCTGCACTAAGAATTTTAGTAGTTACACTAACAAGAAGATTGTTGAGATCAAGAAAAGTACGGACAAACATGTAAAGTGAACATGCACTGTTCTTGTAGTTTCCAGTATTAATGAAGACAATTATATTTAGAATATTTCCTAATACACCACCAATCAACAGAATAAAACCTAAAACAAGGATTGCATATTGAAAACCACTTTGAAGTTGAAGAATTGCGAATGTATTGCTAGTGTTATTGTTCGATGACATTGTCGCGTTCTTCGGAAATACTTTTATGTAATGAATGAAGATGTTAATGTTAAAAGATTTGCTTTTTATTATAGTCACTAGATAAGAAAACTTATGACGTAGAAAGAAAACTACTCTTTTCTTTTTTCTAGAATTATATTGAATCAATTTTATGAAAAAAAGTGAATGGGTGTGGTTTTGACACATGACATGAAGTGATTCTCTTTCATTTTGTAATTAAACCAGTGTAATTTTTCATCTTGTGAAATTGATATATATCATTTTTGTTTTCTCAACTCGAAGCGATGACATCCATCAGTAACAGTAATTAATAAAGAATGACGTATTTTGTATGTTTGGGAAAATTATTATTAAAATGCTTCTCAATCTATTCATATCACATTTAGGATTATCAATGAAAAACGTTGTTCAAGATACTATTAATCAGAAAGAATTCGTATAGAAATGTGATGTTTAAATTACATACAGCATAAACACTAACACTTCCAACATAATAAAATTTGGGGATGAGAAATTTCTTTGCTAATTATATTGCTATGAACCATGAAAATGCTATGAAAATAAACAATCAAACATCATTAATCACATACCACAATAATATATCTCTACAGACTCTACAAGTAATGTTGCTACAGAGGTTATACTTGCCAACAAACTCATCGCTGTTGGTAAAATCTATAAAAGCCAAAAAATAAACATTTATTAGAAATATATTTTATGAAAATGAGGTAACCTTCATTTGGTCATCAGCGACAAGAAATTCTTTTGTTGATTTTTGTTTTGAGTTGATACAACCTTGATAAATTCTAATAGCACTCGAAAAAAAACTAAAAATAGTAAATGAAGAATTGTTTTTTCAGTAGAAATACTTCATTATGAAAAAGAAGACATAAAACTCCATAATCAATTTAACCGAGATGCATTTAAAACTATCGATCATTACCATTTTCTCTTATTTAATAAAATCAATTATAACAGAAGTAAATTCATTTTGATTATAAGAAAATCGCTTTCATTGTCATTAATGAAATAATTTTATGTTAAAATAAAATATATTAACTATTCACGAATCATATGAAATTTATTTATTTGATTTTTATTTTTCTGAAAAAAAAAAGATCAGTTTTGTATCTTTGGTATTAAACCAATTTGAATACAAATCATCATAAAGTAACAAAAAATAAAAATAAATATTAAATTTCAAGATTTTTCTTTAAAACATATTCCAAAGATGGAATTGAATATCCATTTGGACCTTTTCCACCTTGATATAATACTTTTTGATCATGTAATACATAAAGTCTTTCTGGTGATGCACGAAATAATTGATTAGTACGATTATTCATTGTATCACAATAAACGGAGATCGCACTATCTTTATCAATTTTTGCCATTTCTATCATAATTTTAACTGCATCTAATCGATCTTTGATATTACGATGATTTGCAATAAAACTATATTGAGGTCCACTGAATTTAAATCCATCTGAGGCATGTGCTTCTACAATATAAATAATAATAAAATCAATAGGAGAATTTAATTGTTGATGATATTTTGCAAGTTTAATAAATGATTCTAAACTTGCAAGAAACGGTGGTCATGTACAACTACCAAAATTCAATACTAAATAACGTCCTTGTTTCATTAATGAACATAAATTTATTGTTTCAATATTTAAATCATCATTATCTAATCTATTGAAATCTTGTGTAAAAACAGGAATTATTTCCGCTGATTCAGGTATTGGTTTACCAGGTTCCGTAATAGTAGATGGGAGTATTTGGTCTAATTTACAACGAAAGCGTAATATTTTCCAATAAGAAATCCAAAATTGTGGTCGAAGTGCTGAACGAACCAATACAGATGGTGGAGTGGTTTCAACCTAGAATGAAAAAAAAACAGTACTCTGAGATAATCAATATTTCTTTTCTAATTGAATGTGACTCTATTGGTTTGATACCGATCTATATAGCATCATGATCGAGACGTTTCGAACAAGTTTACGCGATAAGAACAGGCATATGGACTCGCCGGTTGCTGATCTACCTGTTCCATCTCTGACATAAAATAGTCCTACTTCTCGAAGATTAAACGATATTTTTTGTTTTGATAAATATCACGGAACTTCACAAGCATGTATATTGAACAATTACAGAAAAAAGGTATAGTAAACAACTGTGTGAATTGAAATTCTTCTTTATCGAATATTATTTGTCAAATAAATGTAATAATACATACATTTAAAGCAGCTCCTTGAATAAGTTCATTTGGCATTTGATGATCACTGTTCTTTCGATCTTGTTCAGCTGCTTTTTTTGCCTTCTCAATATACTGCTTTTCTTGAAATGTAATAACAATCCAAAGAGAACGTAGAGTTGCCAACAGAAGTATAGATACTAGCATTTTTGTTGTGGAAATAATTTCAAATAACTCATTTTTGAACCGAACAAACCGTTCGCTCGGCATATTCTTTTTATAATAAATGTCGTTGATTATACGTACATTTTATTAAGTTTCTAGAAAAGATAAAGATGAGAATAATAAACGTAAAAAAGTGAAAATGTAAATAAAGAATATTTCTCAGTAAACTAAAAGAATAAAATTATAACATCTTTCCAAGGACAGTCGTGCAGAAAATATCTCAAAATTTGGATAATGTTTATCGTTTGAAAAAGATGATATTAGTCTAAATTTTAGTGTCTTATGTATTTCGATAAAAGCAAATAACTTATTTTTGTGCGCAATAGAAAGCTACCATGATGAGTGATCGTTAAATTGTGTTTTTTCATATAAACAAGAGATAGAAAGGTAATCAAGCGTAACAGTCACATGTAAAGAGAATAATTACAAGGTAAACCGAGAGAAATATAAATATGTTACTATAGAGTAGAATATAAAGGGTACCCCAGACGTTCTGAAACAATTTTTTAAAACTTATCGTTGTCGCGTTTAACAAAATCAAACTTTTATAGATTATAGTACCTAACTTGTATTATATAAGCACAAAGTTTCAGTTCTATAGCTTATACTATACATGAGAGCCTAGAACAACGTTGTCTTGTACTATTTTCGAAAATTTTTCTGTGTTCTGGCTCTGTTAAAAACTCTACAAACGCTGTGTAAACAAATTCCTATACCAAAACAAAAAATTCATTCAAACCTTTTTCTATTATACTGAGGCAGCCGTACTGTTATGTAGATTTTTCATTTTGAATATGGCAAAGACTATTAGTACAAGCCATCAGGGATTCTTGTAGAGTATTTCACGGCGCATCTTTTGAAAACAAACTTTAAGATTTTATCATCTACCTAACCCAAGATATAGACAAAATAATAAAAATGTTGCACGCGCTAAAGATGACCAGCAAAATGTTAGAAAAAGTCCATGACAATGTTATTCATGGCGCTCATCGACAGTAAAAGATGCAGACCTGAAACTTTGTACTTATGAGTACGAGTTCGGTACAATAATCTATAAAGGTTTCAAGAAATCTGCTTTTGTTACACGCGAGAACGATGGGTTTTAAAATTTCTTCAGAACTTCTGGGACACCCTTTATTACTTTGAATCATTGAAAATAAAAAAAAACAGAATCATAGAATACAATAAAATGCAATACAATAAAAAAAGAATCAAATAACACAATAAAATAAAATGCAATAAGATTAAGTAATATAGAGATTAATAGAATAAAATAGAAGCATATAATATAATAAGATAAAATGCAATAAAAGAAAAGAAAAGAAAAGAATATAATGTTACAATAGTATCGAACAATAATAATGAAAATATAAATACTAAAAAACATAATAAATCTATTTAAATCTTAAATCAATACGATTTTTTCAGATTGAGTATATAATAGCCGTATACGATTGTACATAGTGATAAACGACCATATACAGCAGTCGGATACCTCTGTCCACGAAGTAAAGACGTTTACCTTCCAAATACTCCCTGTTTTTTCATGACCTCCGTATACGGAATCGGTTTTTCATCCATATCCTGATTATACTTATATTACATTATCAAAATTTTCTTTTTTAAGATTTTGAGTTATCTTATTTTAATTTTCAAAAGATCTCAGACTGATATAACGATAATGTCTGACAGAATTTGCGTAGCAGGTTCTGAAGGATATCTTAACTAAAATTTACTGAAATCTTGATTGAATTCTTTAAATAATTTTGTTAGGGTCTTGAATAAAATCTAAAGTAAATTCTTGCGGAATCTTTGAATATTCATTAACGAGAAACGCTAAATAAGAATTATAGGAAATCTTGGAACCAATCTTGACAGGATCCTTCAAGTATATAATCCACAGGTATCTTTCTATGGTTTTTCTAGAAATGGAGACCATGAACAGAAAAAACAGTAGCCTTCAAAGATCTTAGCCAGATCCTTTTATTTTCTTTTAACAATCCTGACTAGGATTGGTATTTTCGTGTAAGTCTGAAAGGATTTATTCTTCAAAGATTTCGCAGAAATCCCTAACAGAGATCAACTAGGATAAATAAATTTTGTTTTATGGCTAATTCTTTTATTTTCCTACTGAGATCATACTCTGACCTACCAAGGATCTTGGCAAGATTCTGATGCGAATATTTAGTCCACAGCTTGATGGAAACCTGATTGAATCTATTTAGGATCCTTCACAAGATCTAGACAAAATCTTTGCAGGATTCTGTATTATTACTTCAGAACTGAAAAGTCTAAATCTTACAAATCTTTATCAAAACCATGTATCATAAATTAGTTTAAAACAGATCCACTCAAATAAACTTGAAAATAGTTCAATAATGACATCTAAAAAACAAACCTGAAAGTAAAAATAAAGAAAAATCGATGAATTGTGCAAAATAATATAGTTTTGTCTGCTTAGATAAGTGCTCTTCTATAAAAGAAAATATAAGACGAGCGTTTTTTCTTAGTTTATTCAACAAGAAAATATGTGAAAGGATGGGTGACAGTGTGGATTAATCATCCCTTCGTCGACACCCTCAAAATAGAATAATCACATCCGTCTGCTATTGACAGTTCATTCAACACACGTGATAGTTTCTTCTCGAAAGCCAAGGGTTCTTCGCACAAGTTTTATCTTATCGAAGAACAAAGCGAAATTAGGATGTGACGATGGAAGAGATTTTGCTTGAATCTCGAACGCTTTTGCATAATAGAGGAGCGCAGTGGAATAGTTTTCCATAGAATAATACACTTCACCAATGTAAAAAAAGGTTTTGGCAAAAGTAGGATGATTAGATGGCAGGGATGTTAGTTGAATTTCAAGTGCTTTGTCGTGATGTAACAATGCAGTTGAGTAGTTCTTCATCGATTTGTATAATGTACCCATATTATTGTAGGTCGCAGCTAAATTCGGATGATTGGGTAGCAAAGAATTTTGATAATTGTTGAGAGCCTTTTCAAAATATAAGAGAGCATCGGAGTAGTTTTCCAACGTTAAATAAACTGCACCGATGTTGCTGTAAGTCGTACCAAGAGAAGAATGCGTAGGTGGAAGAGATTTTTCTTCAATCATTAGAGTCTTTTCATAATACGCGAGTGCCATGAAATGATCTTTCATTAATTCGTGTAAACGACCAATATTGTGATAGGTTATGGCAAGAGAAGGATGGTTAAGTGGAAGGGTTTTTTCTTTAATGTCAAGTGCCTTCTCAGAGTATGAGAGGGCAGTCTGGTAGTCTCCAATGCGATGGTGCACTACACCAAGATTAGTGTACGCAATACCTAGATCTGAATGGATGGGTGGCAAAACTTCTTCACGAATTTTGAGTGCCTTTTCATGATATGCAAGTGCACTTGTGTAATTTGCCATCAAACAATAAGTTGAACCAATGCTGCTGTACGTCTTAGCTAACGCGAGATCTGTCGGTTTGAGGACTTTTTCTCTGATGTTGAGAGCTGATTGAAAATGTGCCAGTGCCTCCAAAGAATCTTCTTGTGAATGTTTTATACCTCCCAATTGCGCATGGAGATCAGCAATTTCCTCGAGGCTCTTCACCACTGTCGATTCAAGTATTCCTTTGAAGAACTCTTCGGCTTGATCGAGCTTATCTATTCTTCTCAATAACATACCAAGTTGGTGATGTTTGAAATCATTTGCAAATTCCGCTCGTACATAATCAGTGAGGCTTTTCAACTGTTCATCATTATCATTGGTCAATGCGAGATTCACTTGCCATAGTTGATCATTGATCTGCACTATCTCACCAATGCGAAAGACAGTGTGCATCGAAAAAAGAATTTCATTTTCTTCCGAATAATAGGCGGTGCCATTCAATGAACCAAAGACAGTCGATGAGACGAATGGATCGATTTCCATTTGGAAGAGGATTCCAATCAGATCAGGATCGCTTTCAACACTTTCTGCAAAAGCTAAGGACACATCTCGATCGGTACTTGTTGACAAAAAGTTGTTGAATGCCCAAAGTCCACCTTGACTTTGCTTAACCTTCTCAAACTCTATCTTTGAAATGCCTTGACCTCGATAAAGTATCTGTTTTGTTTTTTCGTGCGTCTGCGAATAGAGTTGCTCAATTTGTCTGTGCAGATCTTGAACGAAGAAACCCATCTTGATAATGGTTTTAATATTCTGAGTCCGTAAAGCTTTATTGAGCACAGAATAGATGAATGACTCTTTTGTATACCACCAAATGGGTGACTGCTTGTCATAATCTTGCTCAAACGTGTCAATGGAACTTAATTTGACAGTATTCTCACCATGAACACGAAGAAAACGGATAAATTCTTTTCGTGCTTCTTCATTATACTGTGTTTCGAGTAAAATTTCTTTGAGTAATTGTGAATACATAAACGAAGGATCAAGTTTGTTCGACTCAAGCGAATAGGAAGCCGAGATAACACTAAAACTTGTTACATCACGTTCGCGCTGTCGTGTGTTCTTTCTTATCTGATTATTAATGGCTGAAAAGTCTCTGAAAACACCTCTGATCTTTTTCCATTTTTTGCGCAAAATATCGTAATTAGTGCTTTCCACATCAAGAATGTAGACTGAATCGAGTTGAGACGCATCATGAATGAGATGTATGTCCTTCATATCAGAAGCGTCGGATATAATCAGAAAGACTTTGAAATCCTTGACATCGTGTAGAAAAGCACTACAGTCATAACCATTATCAAATACTTTGATCGATTGACTGATGAATTGGCGATGATGATCATGAATGAAGACATCGGGGTTGGAGTTCAACCATACAATAAGAAAATTCTCAATTATATGGTACTTTGGTCGTTGTGGTGCATCGTTCTTCGTCTTAGCGTCACTTGCCACGGAAGGCACTGGTACTTTCTCCATTTAGAGTTTTTTTATTGACCGATCGAAGTGTGATACCTGACGGTGGCTTTGAAGTCAGTTTATAACAATATTTACTCGGATTAAAAAATGATTTTTTTTTCAATCAAACGTAGTTGATATCGGGACACATTGTTTTCATTTTAATCTTTGTTCTAGGTTTCTTTTTACTTCGTTAATACCAGTATTTATATCTAATTATTGCATGGTTTTTTCCAACAAAAATTATTTCTTTCCCCACTTCCAACTAAGAAAGACTCTATACCAAAAAATATTTTTTCATGTTATTTGTTTCTGTTATTGATATTTAGATAAGAGTGAGAGAACATCACCATATGCTAGTTATCAACATCACACATTCCTGCAAACAAGTGAAAATCAGGATCGTTATCTTTTACTATCATTTATGTCCAAAACTGACTTCTTTGGCGCAAAATGTAGAAGTAAGGAAGTATAATCGAAATTTTCGATGTAGATGCCCGATGACAGAGAACTATCAAAATCTAACTTTACCATTATTAAGTCATAATCTCCGTTTTCTTTTTTTTGACAATTTCAGGTTATATTCAAGCATCAGGAATTTCGAAGTTGTTTAATTAAATCTACTACATTATTGACTGAACAATGATAATCAACAAAATTTCACATTTCAATCTTAGATATCCCTTTACCAATCATATACACATGTTATGTATTTTAGATTGAATTTCTATTTAATTTGTTTCTTTTAAAAAGCTATTAGCGATGTATGTGCCATATCTATCCTACTCACATTTTTAAGATTTGAATTTTGAATTTCTATCAACGACTATGCACTTTCAAATATATATAACAGACCATTTTTACACGGTTTAAAATTAAAATAAATTCACTTTGTTCATGTTTAATTACATATGTGATAAAAAGAATATTAGTCATTAAATGAATCATAGTATAGCAACAGAATATTCTATTCGAAATTGTTAACTCGTTCAACACCAAAACTAATTGTTTTAGAAATAAATCCAATATCACTATGTCTAATTGAAATAATTTACAAGGAAAATTATCGAAGAAGTTATGATCATAAAAATTTATTTTTGTTTTTCTTCTAGCTTCAATCAGTATTAATTATAATTGATACGTTTTGTTTATATTATTGTAAACGATAAAATATCTGAGGAAGAATAAATCAAAAAATAAATGAAATCATGGATCAATTGTTTTTAAACAAGATATATTTTAATTAATGTAAAGTATTCATTGATAAATTAAAAAAGTCGAAGTATTTTTTTTCACTATTTTGAAGCTTCAGTAATAGTTTTTCATTTATTGTATTTGAAAATTATTTTCATAATATAAACATGTGCTTTTATGCGACGATGTACGAAATCGTACTTTAATTACGTGCGTTGTACTTTTACTTGTCCTTTTCACATCGCACATTTTCTTTTGCTATAAAAACACATACAAAATATTTTTCTTCTCATTCTCTTTCACAACATGTCATCAATCAAAGAACGTGTATTTGTCACTGCAGCTAGTGGAAATATCGGTACTGGTGTTGTGCGTAGTCTTGTCAAACAAGGAATCGATACAACAGCCTATGTACGAGATGAACAGAAAGCTAAAGATCTATTTAAAGAAGAGCTCACTACTGGTCATCTCACTTTGGTTATTGGCAGCTATTCGGCTACTGATGTATTCACAAAAGCAATTCAAGGACATACTCGTCTCTTCCTTCTTGTTGCTGCTCATGGTTTGAAACCATGGTCGATGAGTCAAATCAAACGAGCTTTTGGTAGAATCGCTTTTGAACAAGGTGTTCGTCAAATTGTCGATCTCTCGTCAGCTTTTGTTAGCAGCTATGGCAAGAAAGGCATCATCGGATATATGCATACAGCAGCTGAAGAAAAGCTATGGGCACTTGCTGATGAAAATCCTGAACAACGTTCACTTGTTGTACTTCGTCCTGGAGCGTTCATGCCCAATCATTTTATGGCTGATGTTCATACAATCAAGCACAAAAATAAAATTGTCTCTTGTGCATCACCTTCATCGAAATCAACTTGGATTGATACAAAAGGTGAGTAGAAAGAATGAGAATTTATCAAATTTCAAAACAGTTTTCAATGTCATATGATATTTTACAATCATAGATATTTATATATCTTCTTTTTTTTTTCTTCATAGACATCTCTGATTGTGCTGCAGTTGTTTTGAGTGAATCAGTAGAGAAACATAATCGTAATGTCTACGAACTGGGTGCTGATAAATTAACTAATGAACAACGAGCAGCTGTTTTCTCCAAAGTACTAGGTAAATCTATCAAATATGAACAACAATCAATGGAAGACTTTTACAAGACATATATTAGCCACGGCTTGCCTCATTCATTTGTATACAATTTTGCAATGAGGGCCTCGAAAGACATCTGTGACAATGCTACGCCCGAAATAGCTCTTATTATCGGTCGACCATTACGTACACTCGAAGACTGGGTAAATGAAAACGTCAAAGCATTTCAATAGAAAAACTTTTATGATACTACATTTTTGATATTGTAATCTTTGAATCTGAATAAAAATAAAATATTAGTTGAATATTTCCATTAATCGCATAATATGAAATTTTTTACAGCCATTTCATCCAATAGACTTCTAATGAAATTGATTATCTTACTTTTTTTCTGCCAAAATAAATAGCGTTTATTTCACATATTCTTATAAAGTTCAATAGTAGATAATTATTCGCTCATCAATAAATAGAAAAAAACATAAATCATAACGTTTGGGAAAATAAGCATAGTCAAATAAAAACCATATTTTGTAAGAGTGTTGAGGTTGTGAGTATGGTCTGACTGTATATGAAAAAGTGAAAAATGAATACTATGGACGTCTTAGTATTGTTAAAGGACACTTATTTCGTTTGTAACACCTAAGACTATTCACTTGATTTTATCAAAAAATTACAAATTACTTTCTTAGCTTTGAGAATATGAATGCATCAGAATCAATCAAATGACATTCACATCCTCAACATCGTAAAAAATCTGAGAATGCATCCTATTCCGCGATGTTGAACATTGGAGGAATCAGTTCCGCACCGGAATCGATTCCGTCCAATTCCGAGAACTCGATCGACACACAACATAAGACACCCAGTCAAGATTGATCGAGTTCGACCGAATTCCGGAATTGCACGGAATTCCTACCGATTCCGGAATTGCGGGAATTGGTTCCGATTCCGGAATTCCGCACCGGAATCACACCATCCACCTCACCCACATTTGTTGTGTTGTGTTGATAAGTTATCCCGTTTGAATACGATCCAATTCCGTTGCGGAATTCCGGGAATTGCATCAAGACGGAATTCAGTGGAATTGGACGGAATTCCTGGGAATTCCTACCGATTCCCACCGATTCCGGAATTGCGTGGACTACTTCTAATTACGGGATTACATGGAATTCCTACCGATTCCGGAATTATACGGAATTCCTACCGATTCCGGAATTATACGGAATTCCTACCAATTCCGGAATTGGACGGAACTCGATCAATTTTCGAGTCGGCATCGGATATTATGTGTCGATCGAGTTCCCGGAATTGAACGGAATCGATTCCGGAGCGGAACTGGTTCCTGAAATGTTCAACATTGCGGAATAGGATGACTGCTCAAAAATCTTTCGTTAAACTAAAAATTTTCAGGTTGATCGCAAAAATAATATAAAATGAAGTTGAACTTAAAAATGAAACAAATTAATTAAAACAAATTGAAGATAATGCAGTATTCTGTTGATTTATTCGATATTATTTTAGAATAACGATTCAAATTGAATATATATATATACAATACAAATGTCAAATTTCACTATAGTAATTCAACTTTCTTTCACTTGAAGTCGAACAGTGGTTTGGTATAACAGTAGATCCATTAAATATATTAGTATTTTACTCAATACATTTACCCTCAAGATTTGTTTTTTATTTTCATAACGTTATTAACAAATACTAGGATGAGTGTGTGCAACTGTATTATATAGATTTAAAGATGAGGTTTTGTATCTTCTCTTGACCTTCACCCATTCATCAAATTTACATTTCGATCTATATCATTTTCTTATGATGTTTCCAACACTTATCGAAGATTGATGGAATTGAGATTTTTGATTTTCGTAAAATCGTACATTAGAAGACATCGAAATGATTATTTGGATTTATTTCGTCGGTTAGCATATTTCAAAGTGAGATGAAATAACAAAGAAAGTCAACTCATTTGCACGATTTCGTTTCTTAAAAATCAATAATAAATCTTAAATAAATTAGAAAAAACTTTTTTATTAATTTGATTTATCATAATTTATATTTACATTGAACTATGTCTAGATGGATGAGACAGTGACTTAGTTCTTTACCATCATTTTCATCACACCATCCACATCTTCAAATATACTTCGCCTCAAAGAATCACTAGTAGTTTATTTATTTTGAAAAAGGAGAATTTTATTGGTTGCTTAAAACGAATGATCTTGTTTTGAAGAGATCAGAAAAAAAAGAATGAAGCCTATGAAACTTTTCTATATTGTTTTACACATCCAAAACTAATGTTTTGAACTTTGAGTAATTGCAATACATATAGTTCTATGCATTCAGAAAAGTTCCATAACTAGAAATGTTAGTATAAAATAATGAATTATCGTCCAATATATGGGTACTAATGTATTTGTCATTAATATCCATAGTCGTAAAGTTTTGTTGAAATTCTTAATATCGAGCGAACGTTAATAGCAATTCGTATTATACAATGTTTTATAAGCGTAATGTTTTTAATAGAGTAGTCAAATGCTAATGAATAAATAGAGGCTAATCATCGATAAGCTTTAGCAATGCAAGAGAACACTAACAGTGCTCGAACCAGAGTTTGCAACAATAATATCGGGTTTATTGTCTTGATTCACGTCGACGACTGCTACTGCTTGAGGGTCATTGCCAACTGTGTAAGTAGTTTGAGTATTAAAGGTGCCGTTGCCTGCGTTGAGAAGAACACCGGCGGTGCTATCGCCGCTGTTTGCAATAATAATATCAGGTTTATTATCGCTATTCACATCGACGACTGCTACTGAGTATGGTTTAGTACCAACTGGGTAAGTAGTTTGAGCACTAAAGGTGCCACTGCCTGTATTGAGTAGAACACCGACGGTGCTCGAACCAGAGTTTGCAACAATAATATCAGGTTTATTATCGCTATTCACATCGATGACTGCGACTGAATATGGCTGAGTACCAACTGGATAAGTAGTTTGAACATTAAACGTGCCGCTGCCTGCGTTGCGAAGAACGCTGACGGTGTTCGAACCCTGGTTTGCAACGATAATATCGGATTCATTATCATTATTCACATCGACGACTGCTACTGACCATGGATTAGTCCCAACTGCG